TACATAAGCTTTAATATAAACTTAAAAAAAACATAGACTAATTCCCTTTTAAACACTTTTAGTTACTATATGCTTACTTTTAACTTAACTATAATATAATAGCCTTAATTAACTTACTAATAAATAAAGATATTATTAACCTAGATTAATTTATAGTGTTTTTGTAAGTAACTTATAGAAACTTAAATAAAAAGTTAATAGCCCTAAGTTACCTAAACACTTTATAATAAAAAAAAAAAAGCTTTACTTTACACTTTACTAAGTTTTACTAACTTGCATCTAATATAGGCCTAAATAAAATAGGTCTAATTATAGCCCTATATAACTCTCTCTTAACTAAACTGTAACGCGCTATAGTAGAAGAACCCCTTCTAAACAACCTTAACACATATGTAAACCTAATTACTACCTATAATAATAACATAAGGTTCCTCCTTGTATAAGCCTTAATACACCCCTAAACTAGCGCAGTTGTAAATAAGGACTCTAACATAATAAAAATTAATTTAAATTATGCTTTAGTTAGTTCTAGAAAGCATAAAGATTATAAAAAAAAAAGTTAATACTTTAAGTGTAGTAAGCATAGTTATATTTTCTAAAACTACTTTATTCCCTTTTTTTAAGTCTACGCAAGTAGCGCTGCTAGCACTTATTAAAAATCTTTACTATTTTAATTTTATTTTTATAAGGGCTCTAACTTATATTTAAGCTTTAATCCCTCTTACTACTCTTAATGTAGCTGCAGCTATAGCAGTAGAAGCCTGTAAAAAGGCTTATCCTAGGGCTAAGTTGCCCCCTAAGACTAATTTAACACTAGATCTTTACTAACTTATAAGCTAAGTCCCCTACTAATAACTAAAAGTACTAAGTTAATATTTTTATATATTTATAATAAAAAACTATATTAGCTTTAATATAAGCTCTTATTAACTTAAAAGTAAATAGTATAAGTTACATTAATAAAGAACTAGCGCGTAAACTAAATCTTTAATTAACACTACTTACTTAAATAATTTACCTAACTAGATTTAATAAAAAATAACTTAAAAAAAGTTTTATTTTTTATACTATAACTATTATAATTACCTACTAACACTATAAGAAGTAGATTAAGCTCTATGTAATAAACATAGAATGTTATAACTTAATTTTAGAATAACTATAGCTATATTAGCATAAGGTTGCCTTTAATTACTAAAAGTAAGTTTTAAACTTTAACTTTTTCTAATGCTAAGACATATGCTTATACTTACACCTAAATAACACCTAAATAGTACTTAATATAGAAAGTCTCTAGACTTACTTTTTAATAACTTAAAAAAGAACTACCTAAGTAAGGCTAATAAGCTAGGCCTTTTACTAAGATAGGCTATGTAAAATAATTTAATAACTACTTAAACTTAAAAAAAAAAGCCTTTAAAGAACCTTTACTTACCTAATTTAAACATAAACTAGGACTTAAATAGTAGATAGACATCTGCTATATAGAACCTGCTTTATTTATAACTCTAGCTTAATAACTAGATTATAAAATCTACGCAGTTATAATTTCTAATATAGACTAAGCTTTAGCTCTTTAAAAACACACTAACTTAAGAATAATAGTCTTTTAAGACTACTATAACTTATTACATGTTTTTTTTTAAAATAAGTCTAATAAGCTTTTAATATAACATCTATATAATTACTAAATAACTCTTAAGCCTAGTAAATAACCTAGTTATAGGCTACTATATAAAATGTTACTAAATAAATTAAAAGTGCTCTAAAAATACCTTAATAAGAACTTAAAAAAAAGGTTTATTTAAGCTAGCTTCTTACTAGTAGTGTTACTTATACTATTTATAAAGAAACCTAGGGGTAGGCTTTAATTCTGCGTTAACTACTAAGAACTAAACACTATTACTATTAAAAACTAATACTTAATTTTTTTTTATAAGAAATTTTAAGCTAACTAAGTAAAGTAAAGTATTTTATAAAGTTAAATATTATTGCTGCCTTTAACAAGCTAAGGATAGTAAAAGGTAATAAGTAGCTAATAGTATTTTAGACCTAATATAGACTATTTAAGTACCTAGTAATGCTTTTTAGCTTAGCTAACACGCTTAGTACTTTTTAACATTTTATAAACAACTTACTCTAACTCTACCTAGACATGTTCTGCACTGTGTATATTAATAATATTCTAATCTATAGTAATAGCCTTTTAGAGCATAAATAGCATGTACGCCTAGTGCTAAAAGCTATAGAAGAAGCAGGTCTGCAACTTAATATAGATAAATATAAGTTCTACTAATTAAAGGTTACATATTTAGGATATGTAATCTCTATAAATAGCATTTAAATAGACCTTATTAAGGTTTAGACTATGCTAAATTAGTAATACTTAAAAAATGTAAAAGATATTTAAGCTTTTATAAAATTTACTAACTTTTACTAATAATTTATTAATAACTTCTTATAGTAAGTAAGCCTTATAATTAAACTTACTAAAAAAAGAATTTAATTTAACTTTAACTTAAATTACTAATAGTCTTTTAACTAGCTAAAAAAAGCCTTTACTAAAGCTTTAATACTCTGCTACTTTAACTTTAAACTACTAATACTTGTAAAAGCTAATGCCTTAGACTACGTAGTAGCAGAAGTTCTCTTCTAGACTAAGCTAGATAAGACTATTAGGCCTATTACATATTTCTTAAAAAAAATAAGTCCTATAAAAGGTAATTATAAGATTTATAATAAAAAACTGCTTACTATAGTACACTACTTTAAATAATAGCAACCTAAACTAAAAGGTGCAGCGCATCTAATATAAGTCCTATCTAACTATAAGAACTTATAGTACTTTATAACTATAAAACAACTTAGCTACTAATAAGCTTATTAGTCTAAATACCTATTTTATTTTAATTTTAAAATTACTTATTATCTTAGTTAAGATAAAAGAAAACTAGATACTTTTATAAAGTAATTTTAAAACATCCCTACTTAAAAAAAAGTATAAAAGGCTTAACACTAAACTTTACTTTAACTTAAGCTATTTTTAAACCTTAACCTAAATAAAATAAATTAGATAATTAATTAAATTATTATTAATAAGTATTTAAATAATAAATTTATTTAAGAAACCTTAGACCTGCTTTAAAACAGCGCTAGTTAGTTAAAAAAAGTAACACTAGCTAACTATAAAAACTAAAATAGTAAGCTATATTACTATAACTAACTTATAATTTTTAATTTTAATAAACTAAGAATTAAACTACTTTAAATTATACATAACTTACTTATTAAAGAACACTTAGGCAGAGAAAAGACTTTTAACCTACTGCAAAGAGAGTACTACTAGCCCTGCATGTTCTATACTGTACGCTAATATGTATTATGTTGCTATACTTACTGTAAAGTAAAAGCTTCTTAAAAAAAGTATAATAGCTTACTTAAACTACTTCTAATTCTTAAATAAGCTTAGAAAGATATATTAATTAATTTTATTATAAACTTACTTTTATCTAAAAAGTATATAAATATTATAGTAGTTGTTAATTACTTAACTAAGTATTAACACTTAATACTATATTTCTTTATAACTGCCTCTAATATAGCTTAGTTATTCTACTAATATGTATAAGTTTACTATAGCCTGCCTAACATAATTATATTAGACAGAGGTACACAGTTTGTCTTAGCCTTCTAGAATAAACTTTATAAATAGCTCTAAATTATCTTCTATCTATCTACAGCTTTTTACCTAGAGACTAATAGCTAGACTAAGAACATAAACACTATAATAAAATAAGTCCTATAAGTGTACATAAACTACTAGTAGAATAACTAGGTAAAATAGTTAGCTACAGCACAGTTTAAAGCTAATAACATAATATTTAAATTAATATAAGTATTCTTGTTTTTAGTAAACTATAGATACTACTTTTAAATAAGATTTAAACTACTTTTAAATACCTTTTAACTAACTTATTAATCTATATAAGTAATAAATGTAAATAGACTTATTAATAAGATTTAAAATATATTTAAATATATTTATAAAAAGCTTACATAGGCTTAAGCTTTTTAATAAGAGTATATAAACTAATTTTAAACCTCTGCCCCTGCGTATGCAGCTAGCAAGAAGGTCTAGCTAGACACTAGAAATATCTAAATAAACTAATAATTAAAGAAACTTAATTAAAAGAACCTTAGCTTTTTTATAGTAGCTTATATAGTCTTATTGCACGCTTACTAATTAATCCTACCTAACAGCATAAAGATACACCCTGTGTTCCACGTATTATTGCTGCGCTAAGTAGCTCTTAAATCTAACTATCTACCTAGACAGCTAAACCTGCTACCTAAACCTATTATTATAAATAATAAACTAGAATATGTTATAAAAGATGTTAAATAGATTTAGTTTAATAAAAAAAAACATATCTATAAATACCTTATAAAATAGACTAGATATAACAAACTGTTATAGAAACCTATAAAAGCCTTATAAAAAAACTCTATAGTAACTTAATTCTACGCCTAATACCTATCTAAACTAAACCTATACCCTAACAAAGACAACCTAATGCTAGAACTACTAATGTAAAGAATTCCCTTTCTAATAAAGGGGGGGGTACTATTACAGTATTCTCCCTAGATTCTAGACATAACTATATTAGACATGTACTAGAGTATTATTAGTGCACATCTAATATAAACATAACATAATATAGACATAAACTTAAGTATATACTGCCTTAACACTAACTAAACCTAAAATAGGCTTAATTTATACTTAAAGCGCTTAGACTTTTAAGCTAAGTATTTAATTACTAATTTCCTCTTAAACCTTCCTATTCCTCACACAACGTCTTGTACCTACTATGATACCTCACATAGTAATTAAACTAGACCTCTGTAAAGCTCTATAACCTTACTCGTGCACAATCGTGACAATAATAAGTAAGACGTAACTTGTCTAGAAAGCCTGAGTTGAATCGTACTACTTCCTGATGGAAACGCTGTATGTAGTTGGAGATAGGGAGACTCTAGAAGAGGAAGTAGGAGAAGCATAGATAGCTAAGAAGTATTCTTTAAGGTTTTACGCAGCCGATCTTTCTCCGCGAATTATAAACGCCTAGTGTAGTACCTGTCCTTGACTGATTCGGTTTAGGTGCAAACTGAACCGACTGAACCGACTTTACATATACGGGAGCTTTGATGGTAGTAAGTATCTTCCAAGTTGATATCTATCGCCTCTTTGCTTAGCAAAAGCTTCACAACACCCTTCGCGGCCATTTTCAGCGGCCCACCAAAGCGGGATTGTTCCATAAAAATCACCTTTGGAGTTCGGATCGACCGTTTTATCAACAAGAAGCAGCCTTACAACATCTCGTCGTTTCCAGTTCAGGAGCGAAAAGCAGAGGAGTCTGTAAGCAGGGAGGGCATTGTGAGTTGGTTAAATACTCATCATCTAAGATCAACTTACATTCTATCAATACTCTATGATATCTCCATGATGATTTCCTGTTGCAAGTCTGTGTTCCTCGCAACGAACGCGGGTAGCCTAACAAGTGCCCTTCGAGCTGTCTCCGCATATCATCATCCCTCGTTCTATCTCTAAAGAGAAGCACCCCGTGCGTTCCTTAAAGTGCTCTAACATCTCTGGGATGAATCTAGATGTGACAAATATGTTCACCTAGGATTCTTCCCCGATGTGAAACAATTCTGCAAGCCGGATCCAGTACTCTGCATAGTCTAGAGAGTCTGCGATGATGAAACTCCGTGTATAACGCCCAACAACGGAGACGACAAGGCAAGAACCTTTGCACAAACTGGTTCCGTACGCAGCGAGAATTTCCTCTGACATGGACATTCGACGTTGTAGGAATTACTTGAATAGACTAGAAAGGATATATATGCGTCTCTGATCGCCTTGTCTTCGAGAATTGCCATAGACATAGACAATGGGGGCGGTCTCAGAGCCCTTGAATATGCCGTGAAGGTAATTGAGGACAGCTGACGCTAGAACTGTCTTTCCCGCAAGTGGGACTCCGGAGTAAACATTGTCTGTCTAGGCTGAGCAAGGTATTCTTGGAAGGGCTTAGAGTTTATGAACCATCCGCCATTTCTATCCTGCCTCCAGTCGCGAATATCAGCGTTGCTAAATTTATTCGATAGCCATGGGCTGTTTGAGAATATCCTGAAGAACACGATTTTCAGATGGACTGTTCTGGTGATCTTGTATATTGGGAGCTATATGGCTGATCTGATGGGATGCTTGACTGCTGACCATGTATCCTGCTAATGAAAACATTAGGTTTATAGATGGACCGGTTTAATTGATACATGAAATGGGCTCTAACGTAGGGCTACACCTGCACTTATCCTCCTGCCACAACCCGTAAAGCACCCCTATATGGGCCTACAAATACAAGAGTAACGCTAAGGAATCATGTGAAGCTATTGGGATCACCAAAGACATAAGGAACTAGATTGATTCCTAAAGGAGGGACCTTAGGGTCTATATATTGAAGGAGTGAGCTAAGCAGCATTAGCTCCTGAATATGAGCAGGTGGTGGAGATCGGAGAACTCCGCTACTGCAAACAAATCATGATCAGCAGCAAGGCTGAGAGAGGCGCTCATTTGAGGTAGGGTCGCCCCGCCGATCAGTAACTTCGGTGAAGTGTTCCTTATTAACTATAGTAACACCTGCACAATACAATTGTCCTACCTGGTCGCGCTACACTGTCTTAATGGCCAAAAACTCTAATGTTGTAGGGTTGGAGTGTATAAGAAGTGTGCGAGGAGATCTAGAATAGAATAATGTTATTTTTTAAGTAAAAATCCAGGATTTCTAGGGGCCTTGTGCGTCCTACAGCTACCGCATATTAGTATACTAGATCTGTGGTTTCTCGTTAGCCTGTGATTTTGTCTAGGGGTTAAATGTTTGTTTCATCCATTGCAAGCCGATATAAGAGTTGTTGTAGCCAGATTTGGAGCAAGAATATACCTAACCTGGGATAAGACACACAGTCTAGTTGCTTCTATGGGTGGAGATTGGCTAGATTATTATGGATCCAAATACTCGCCACTTTTGGAAACGCACTTAATGCAGTTACTATTGTGCGCTCAAAATTGGCGCCTTAATCGTCTCGCTGATTATCCTTACCTAAAGGGGCCTTAAGAAGTTGAGAGAACTAAGAATAGAAATCACAATACCCGTCACCTGCCTTGTCTATGCTATAGGTATTCCCTGGCACAATTTCTAGCATATAACACTCTTTGTTGATCACCTTAAACCACTGAGTGATCTTGCCATACATGTTGTTGTTGTTGTGACGGTTCCAGTCTATTGCCCTAGTTCTTCTTTGTTTAAGATCTGGATGGCGGCTTTCAAATATCTGAGGCCAGCCCTTGCTCAGCGACTTGATCGCCTTTGTCGTGGACTGTCGGCGGGCAAGCCTGATGGCTAGTAAAGGTATAGACTTTATGCGTACAGGAGATCTGAGGACAGCAATATGTAATAAAAATGTAGCGAAGGCTACCTGTTTTAAAGTGTAAGGTATTGCTAGCGTTTGACCTTTGTCTTTCTCAAGGGTCGTCGGTGGTTAAGAGGCCATAGAGTCGAGCGAGAGGCTCCACTGCGTTCTGCTAAGGTAGCGTAGGTTTCACGTACACTTGGAGGGAGTGGTTGCGCCAGCACCTTGCTGGATAGGCTCATGGAAAGCAATAGCTGCTCCGCGCAGCAACGAAGAACAGTAAACGTGGAGGCCATATTCTATACGGAGAGACTCCCGGATTGCTAGCCCTTAAGAACCTAGCGTCACTGAACTACATAAACATAAATTATTGGCTTTCAAAGATTTGTAGCTCATCGACTCTCGTGCACTAGACTAAGGCTTCCTTGTGCACGCTTCCTAAGCCCATTGCTATGTATATAAAAATACAAGCCCCTGTATATGTCACCTTACTGTTCTTCACTAAACCACAACAATTTCTCTACGCATAGTTTAACTCTTTTGACACAGAATTTACATACAGCATAGCAGTCTAGCGCCGGTTTACACTACATTTCAAAATTTTGGTTCCACTAATAGATCTCCTCTTTATGACCCCTTTCTATTCTTGCTTGGTATGCTTATCCTAGACCTTCAACGAACGTTAGGTGTAACGTTCATAATGTTAAATGGCAACGTCTTGGATCCTATCCATGGACAACCGCTCTATCACCTGTAGTCCACTGAACCTTTATCTCCCACTTCTTGATCTTCCACAAGCCGTCGCTGCTATCCTTGACGAGATCTATAAAGTACAAGCTTGACGCCGTGTATGAAGTGTCCTCCGGCTTGAGCGCATCATCTGGCCGAACATGATATGAGATCGCGTGGGCGGTCATGAATGCCGTGTCCGCGCCATCCTTCAGCTCAATACGGATATTGCTGGTGATATGCGTGGTGACCAGGACGAAGACCTTAAGAAAGAAATCGCTGATCGCGGTCCAGCCCTCGAGAGTAATTGGACCAGCGACAACAGTCATACTCTCGTTCGTTAAGCATGCTGACTCAAACAGGCCCCGATTGTTGGTGTCGATACCGAGGATGCAGCGGTGGAGAGCATCTGCGACAGCTTCGCGTGGACTAAGTGCTGTGAGTGTGACTAGGTCGGCCATTGCGTTGAGCGAAGTGCACTAAAGGATTCTTGGCTAGAATATGGTTGTTGTGATCTGAGTTACTATTACCTTTTAGCGGCTAAGCTTTATACTTAATTATATCTAAACTGTTACAATGGCACGTTGAGCAAACATGGATTTACCGGATTTAAAAGATGGGAATAAAGAAGGCTAGGATTTACCGGAGTTATAAAACGGGAATAAAGTACTATGTGCACAACCCCCTGCTTTTATTCGCACGTCCTCTGCACAGCTACAGGCCTAACAATTAGTATCCCTCAATTATATAATAACTATTACACATGCGTGGTTGTCTACACTAGCTAGGAACGGTAATTGTTCTGGTTAGAATTGCTAACGGGGGTGGTAACTGCGTTTAAAATTTGCGTGCGACAAAGTTAATAATAACTTTCTAACATTATAATAAGGCTAGAGGGCTCCATCAAGATGCTTATAAAAGTATTGTAGGTGTAAAGAGCTTGTTAGTAGAGCTGTAGCAAAGTAATATTATTTTACTACAAAAGAAGGCTCTAAGCAGATTAGGTAGTAAGATGATAATATAAATGTAATATATAGATTTAGAAGGGTTTTCAATAGGTAAAAGTAGGCGCAACATACTATTTATATGTAAGTATAGTAAGGCTCGACATTTGCGCAGAGTTATACTCACTTGAAGTCAAAGTGCCTCTCACATTTCCCGGCACAGGTGGTTTTCCGGTACGCGTGGATTGATGTTAGCTGACAGAGTTTGAATGCGCTGTTTCACAATCCCCTAGACCCATTTCTTCAAAGCGCCCTGCCGGAACTCAGCTGAAGATGACATTCAGGAGAACAGTATTAAGTTTGTACAGCCACAACAATGCTGAGCTGGCCCGTTCTCATCTCGACGTACGAACCTTCCTCTAAAATGCTGCGAGTTGCCGGAAGCGGTAGTAGAATTGAGTTGTGTCACATTTGTCTAATGCACTTCGCCAACCCGGTTTGTTGGAAAAACAGGCAAGGGAGCCATAGCAAGGTTGCGCAGCGCCGCAATAATACTAAGCTAACACGTTCTCACCTTCGATCATGTCCAAGTATATAACTTAGGATGCTCCGATTTCTAAAAACCATAGAATCTTCCAGTCCCCAACTTCACAAAGCTAGGCTTTCTTACTCCCGGTACACACAGCATCACCATGACTTCCAAGTCGGTAGAAGCTCTCAAGCCCAGAACTGCGAGCGAGACTTACCGCAAATCATGGGGCGAATACGATTTCTCGACTAACGAACCGGGCGAGCGTGGCGAGCGCGAAGTGAGTACTCAAGAAGTATGCTACAAGCATGTTTCAATTATCCCCTTCGCTCCTCGAGCCTATCTATTACCTTTACGTTTTATTCTTACCAGAATATTTCTTATAGGTATTGCGACCTCTGCACCGACAGCCTCGTCGCTGGCTAGAATGAACACCTCCACTAATGCACTTTCAATCCCAGTGAGTCTCATGCGACAGCCATGGCCAGTCACCAGCACTACATGGCTCTCTTGACCGAGATGAAACCGGACATGACGATCTTGGATGCTGGATGTGGAACTGGGAGACTGGCTAGAGAGATTTGCATGTTTACATAGGCACATGTATTACGATTAGTGCGTATCACCATACCTAGGGACGGGTGCAATGCGGAAGGCTGAGCTGTGGAGGAAGGTGTGAAGCTAGGAGGAGCACTAGAGGCATGAGGAACTGGATTGATTGCTAAAGGAAGGCAATTTACGGGTTTATATAGTACTAGGTGAACCTGTCATGTGACTTAAGGTCAGCAATAGCTCTGGGCCGCAGCAGGTGGCGTAGCTAGGCAGCAGTGAGTCAAAGGAGTGTAGTTGGCTAGAGCTTGGAGAGCTCCGTTACTACAAACAGAAGGCATATGGGCAGTGTGAATTTATTCAAGGTGATTTAACGGTACGTTTTCCCGTGATTCTTTCAGTGGTCGCGGGCTCAAATAATGCGAAGTCTGGTGCTGCCTTCAATGTAGAAAACGTCATTCTCAGACAACACCTTCGACGTCGTCTACGCCATGGAAGCAACCTGCTATTCGCGCCCGTTCGCAACCACCCACAAGGAAATCAAACGCGTGCTCAAGCTCTGCGGAATCTTTGGAACCTATGAGTAGTGCCTGACTCCGCTTTATGATCATGAAAATCCCAAGCATCGTGAGATTTGGAACAATATGGAGCGCGGAGCTAGTGTTGTGTATCTGTGCAATGTCCACGAAGTTGAGGCCACGATTGCAGAAGCGGGACTTAAAGTGAGTGAGTGAGTGCGCGGAGTGCTAGTGCGATTGGCTAGGTATCTAATGGTCGGTGAAACACAGTATGTTGCTTTGTAGGAAGATTGGTATAAGAATTTCATGATGAAGGCGCCTGGAATTCGGGTCGGCACTGCTATCACTTGGCTCTTCTGCAAAATTGGGTGGCGGTCAGATGATGCGACTGCAGACTTGTAAGCAGTGTCCTTGGGGGAATCGGGATAGCGGGGAGGCGGTTATATGTACCTTTTGCCAGATGCATATCTCGAGGAAGTCTGGTAAGCGCAAGAGGAGCGAAGAAAGACATAAGGGGCTACTCATGGAAAGGATGCCATCCCTGCTCGTCGAGAACATTAGATGTCTAGACTGCGATTTCGGATGATGAAACCTGAGAATAGAAAACGATGGATCTCTCTCTATAATGATCAACTAACTTAATAAGATGAGATGAACGAATTGATAAGATCGATTGTAAGACTAGAGAGTTATCTGGGATGTGGGGAATGTGATATGTTCCATAAGATGTAACATCATCGTACTACCCCTTGGTTCCATACAGGGCTCCCAATGGGGCGTACTACTGTCCGTAAAAAGTAAGCCGTACCAGCCACGTGTTCAGTACGAACGCACCTAGTTTGTGAGCCGCACCGTACGTGTAATGAAGCCCCAGGTACAGTACGTAGTACGGATCGTATTACCATTTTAGGGGAGTAAGAGGGCTCTTAACTTCTACAACCTAGGTAAGAGACTGTGCAAAACAGACAACAGAGGCACCTGATTAATTAGATGAGGCCTGTAAGTATCTGAGCTGTTTTGACTTGGGTAAGGCGTACTTTAATCGAACGGTACTACTCGTACGGATCACGTGAGCCGCAACAGTTACGATACGTTCACCTACCTCTCATCCTCCCTCCCGTACGAATGTACACAAAATCTCGTCGGTACAGGCATCAAAATCGCCTAGTCGTACAGTAATACGGCTCGTTGGAAGAGCTGGTTCCATAACCTTCTCCCAATCTCCTTGTAAGCGCCCTCCCAATAATCCGCAGGCTCGATACATGATCCGCTAAGAGCGTCGCCAGGAGCAAGCAGAGTAGTGAGAGAAATAAATCTCTCATGCCTCAACCAGGTGACGTCAGGAGTTAAGCGGCAATAGGCAATATGACCGAGAAAGGCTTCGGAAACGAGCCGAGGCAAAAAGGACCTAGAGCTATCTCTTCTGGACCCAATTTCCTTCTCTTCGCGCGTGGAAGACTTCGTTCGATAGTGTATATGAATAAACGTATCCTCCACCTAGCTCGTGGAATTCGCTTAACTTTCCCATTTCAGAAGAACATCCACCGACCCAAGCTGTTCCCCAGTTGAACAAATGAAGGCAAGAAAAAACATATTGATAACGAGCCTAGCCTTTTGAAAAAAATCTAAAATCTAATATTAGGTCTTCAAAAGTCACCCACTTCCACCAACAAACCTCCACTAATTTTGAAGATCGATGGATTATTTTAATGCCAGCATCAAGTTGTCTTCATATAATACGGCCCATGAGAATATCTCTAATACTAAGCTTGCTGTTGTAGCCTGAAAGTCCGCCTTTCTTCCACTTGCACAAATAATAGTGGCCATCAAAAAGGCAAAAAGATATCTCTCCCTCGGGGAATCGAACCCCGGTCTCCCGCGCTCGTTCCTTTGCAGGTTGACAAGCGGAAATCATGACCACTAGACCAAGGAAGATAACTGCTAATTGTTGAAGAATGTTAAAATTATAAAATATATAAAAATAAGGAAAGTCAGTGTCGGAAAATGCTAGTCTAGTGAAGGATGGTAACGAGAGCACTAGAAATGCGGGGTGGCTGTGTTGAGTGGGCTAATGCACGAGGTGTAGTCATGCAGCGACTTACCCGAACCGGCAGCCCAACATTGCCAACTAATTAAGCATCTCATGGCTCTTCGCCTTCGCCTAAACTTCTTGAAAACTACAAGATCATCAACCCCCGCCAGGTCTTCGTCACATTTATCTTGTGTTTGGGTATAAACCTTGACGTAATAGCAGTTATGGTCGGACTTAATACCAATCAGGAATTCAGCTTCGACGTCGATAAGCCCTGCTTCAAGAGACGTAGCAACCGCTTCACCCTTTACTCCATCTCCATGGAGCGCTAATTGCTCTTACCTTCTGCTAGATACACGGTTCAACAAATCAGCCAACCACCTCAGTGTCCACTTTAGGCTAGGTCTTCAAACCAAACATGGATCCAATGCGCCTAGCCGCAAGTTCGCGATTCCAAAACTGGCCATGTTCGGCAGAAAGTTAGCGGTTGCGTCAGAGCCATTTAGGCCTCTAACGATCTCGCTCAAAGATATGAGCGCCGTGATATTTTTTTCTGCAGTCGCTCCTAGTACATCTGTCGTGAGAAATTCAGAGCCTCATTTTGGGTGTGACTGCGATCGCGTCGCGCGCAGAGAAGATTTCAGCAGTAGGGGGAGGAGGTTCAATGTACAGATGAATCGTTGAGCCAGTCAAAATTAATCCAAGGGTTTCCGACGATGTGGGTGCAGGCCTCCAGTTGGTATAGAGGATCTGAGAGTGAGAATTTGGAGAGAAAGGGACAACATCGGCGAGTATGATTGCGACCTGCATGATCGGCTTTTCTCCAAACTTACCAGACCAGAGTTTGGAAAGGTGAGGTCATAGCCAAGGGTTTTAATGCCATGACATTCTCCGGCGTTCTCGCGCTCTAAATCCTTTCGGAGTCTAGATAAGACCCCGTCCCACTCTTCCATCACCCAGGAGCCTCCTTCCTCAACTCCTGGACAACTTGGTCAATCCTCCTCATGAAGAATTTATCACACTTCATCATTTAGACTACCTCCTCACCCTCGAGGAAAGAAGGGCATTCATCTAGGAAATGGATCTCAAATCTCAAATCCTTAGCTCCGATCTCGCAAGAACACTCATGTTCCTATCTGTCGACACATGGTTCGCAACAGCCCGAGTCTTCATAGCCTCAGCATAAATTAAGTTGTATTCTTTGATTAACGGCCTCAAATACGGGGTAGAGTGACCAGACCAAGTGTTTCGACGACATGCTGTCGCTCTTTGTATGCGCGCCTCTAACTTATTGACTCGTCCATCTTCCGAAGTGCTTGGACCACGATATCGATGACGGTAGGTTTCTTATACTCTTGGTGGTCCAGTTTTAAAAATTACTAAATCAGCTTTTGCATGTGACGTTGTTGGGGAGGAAGTAGAGAGAATCATGCACTCATTACAACGGAGGAAACGACATATGCAACGTATGGAATTGTGTTGATGTAGTGAATTAGATAAATATTTTGCATAAGCATTCTTTTTGTAGGATGCAATAGCATTTTCATCGCTGCCTGCGACAGCAACAACATTCACATGAAGCAGTTAAATTTCAGCGGACTTGGAAAGGATTGGTTAAAAATTGACGGGAGTACACAGGGGAGGGGGAAGCCAGGATGACGGGAGTGCTTCACTGAACGTCCTATAAGTGCTCGGGACTGAGTTGTTTCAGATAGACTTCTGCTTTGGTTTATTTCTACTAGGTATTAGCACCCATAATAGAGCAGTAAAGGCTAGTTAAAAAATTACATCATGTAATCGTATAGCGTGGAAGGTAACTGGGATAGGGTCTAGCCGTTAAACCTCTTCTTAGAATTAAGGAGAACATAACAGGATACACATTTCTGCCCTAAATTGCCATTGGTATGTTCCACGTTAAGCGGCAAGATGCAGTATGACTATCTGTAGGAGGGTTGTCGCTCCGGTAGAATGTGTTGTTTACAGTGCGTCTTCACCTTCACATCTCCACTCCTCTAAAACTCTTTATCTCCGCCGCCCAACACCACCACCCCCACCACTCCCCTCCCCACCTTTATCCGCTAAACTAACCACCTCCCCAATACCCGCTGCCTCTTGCTCATCTTCCAACGCCCGAATCTCCTCCCTGCAATCCCACCATTTATCCTCTGCCTGGGTGAACGCTGCAGTCTTAATCTCCTTAGGCGTTTTCCCAATCCCTTTTGCTGACTTACCAAGTTCTTCGATGACAATGGTCTGCCACTGTTCTGAAGTCCGGGCATAGAAATCTCGTAGGGATTCGAAAGGTCGTGGGTGTGGCAGCATGTCTGTAAGGGCAGAAATTTCTTCGGTCGTGCCGATATCCTCTTCAGGCGCAGCTACGCTTGTCGGTGCCGTGGATACACTAGCTATTTCGCTCTTTTCGTCGTCTTCATCATCTTCAGAGTCGTCATCTTCAGAGTCGTCTTCAGAGTCGGCTTCGTCTTCGCTGCCTTGCCAGTCTTCCAGCTCGCGTTTGAAGATTTGGACGACGCCGTCCAGGTGGTTGAGGTTGACGGACCAGAGTTCGTCAAATGTGTATTCTCGATCGCCTTTTTCGAAGGTTCCACCGTAGATGTAGAGCGTATCAGATTGGACTGTGAGCACAGCATTGAACCGCGGATGGGGAAATTCGAAGAGACGGGGTTTTTCGGGCCGATCTTCCTGTTCGTCTTCCTTCTTCTCTTCATATTTATGGCTATCTTCATCAGATGGAGAGGTGCCACTGCCGGCCTTCATTTCCAGCGCCCTAAGATTTGCAAGAAGCTCTTCCTCATCCGCTTTTCCACGCCCTCGGCGACTTACATTGGCTTGCTGCGCCGCTTTCTTGTTTGCGTTAGCTTTTGGGCGGCGCAGAGTAAGCGGCATGTAACGATTTCTCTCAATGTTCCATACAAACAACTGGTTGAAGAATTCAGAGTCGATGCCTTCCTCGCTCTCTTCGACATCATGAACGCCACCGAACATTATACCGCGACCTTTGTGGAATGTCATTGTTGCACCAGCACGAGGCGGGTTGGGTGGATTTGCCGGCTTCTTTCGACGTTCCCATGATACACTTGGGAGGGCTGTGGATGGAGCTTCTGACGCTGGTGGGGTGATGCGCAGGAACCAGGTATCTTCGTGAACCTTTGGTTTCAGGACTAAACGGGAAGAGGGTCCTCCCCCACCGCCTCCTTTTTTGCCTTTAGCTTGTTGTTGCTGCCTTGTGGCACCAACGGATGTTTTCACGCGGGAGTAGCCACCATAGAGAACTGCGCCTTGGTCGTGTGGCAAGAACGTGAAACTGGATCGAGCATCGGGAACAGCGCGTGCGGATTGTAATTTCGGCGTATGCCACGAGAATGCCGTGCAATCATATATCCACAGATCGTTCAGATACTTTGTCGTCGAAGACGTATCCTGGAAGCCGCCAAACAGAAAAATATACTGCTTGAACCCGACCATTCGATGCCCACTTCGGGCCGGAGGGCTCGCGGCCTTTCCCTTCCCTTCAATCCTCGTCCATTCCCTTGTCGTCGGATCTAGGCGCCAGAAATCGTTGTAATGATAGAAAGTTCCTTGCTTTGGGGAACTAAACTCCCCCCCAAAAAGATACACATCCTTCGTATTTGCGGCCCTACACCACGCATGACCACTCCTTGGTAATGGACTGTTTGGACTCGTGACTTTCTTCCAGCTATCCTGCTTAATGCTATACACAAACAAGTCATTGAAAAACTGCGCCGTGGCTCCGTTGAAGTACTCGCCCCCGTACAAGAACAGCTCATTTTCATTCACGGGGTTCGCTAACAATGTGCTAGATGTCCGTGGGGATGGTGGCTCACAGTTTACCTCGGTAATGGCGTGGTATTGCTCCTGCTCCTTTGCGTATTGCGCGAGGACGGCATCGAGATCGACAGATTCAGTGTCGGAGTCTACATCCTTATTCTTCGTTGACTGTTTCTTCTCTTTCTTGCCGGCTTTTTTTTCTTGCTTGGCTGCCTTTGCAGCTTTTACGGCCTTTTTGTCCCCTTTGGCTTTCTTATCTTTCGCCATGGTGGACTGAAGGTTGAAGTGGGATGGAGAGAAAACGCGGTTGTTATGTCATGGAGTTGGAGAAGGGACTCGGAAAATTGGAAGGTTGTGGTGCCTTAAAGATATGGACTGAAAACTCTCCGTGTTGAGATGACGACCATTAACCCAGTCTCAAGACTTTCCCCTAGTAAGTACCCTTCACAGTGCAAATGAGCTGGCTAGACTTGATAGCAGCACACCTTGAGCAGGAAAAGTCGAATGCAGAGTCAACGTGGTTGCGATTCGCTTGTGCATTTTGTGCATGGCTGACCTCGGCAGTTGTTACGGAGCAGGCGTGCTCACCAACAAGAATACGGAGCAATCAGTTATTTAACGCCATGCCAAACATTCACCCTCGCTTACTTCCAATTCTCCAGCTCCCACTATCAAAACAAGCCTCCAACAATGATTTCAGCTGCTAAAATTCTCGAACAGAGGAGCCATGTGGTTCCCGGTACTCAGCCCCCTCTCTCACTTCCTCAGTCGAAAACAAGAAACTAACCCCAAAGTAGGGAAGCTCAAGATCACAGAGCACTTTTTCCAAGTCCCTCGTGACTACTCCAACCCATCGGCCGGAACTCTTCAACTCTTTGCACGTTCAGCCAGAAGGGTTGAAAAGCCCGCCGACTACTCTCCAACAACTCCCGAAGATGCCGAGAAATCCCAACTCCCATGGCTGGTGTATCTCCAAGGCGGCCCCGGCTTCGGATGTCAGAGTCCGCAGAATGTTGGATGGACGCAAACAGTCCTAGACAAGGGGTATCAGGTTTTACTCCTTGATCAACGCGGCACAGGTCTTTCGACTGCGATTTCCCAATCTTCGCTTCAGTTGAGGGGTGATGAGAAAGTACAGGCGGAGTATATGAAGAGTTTCCGTGCGGATTCGATTGTCAAGGATTGTGAAGCTATTCGTAAGGCGTTGACTGCAGATTACCCGGAAGATAAGAGAAAGTGGAGTGTTTTGGGTCAGAGTTTTGGCGGGTTTTGTGCAACCACGTATCTGAGTTACTACCCCGAGGGATTGAAGGAAGCATTCCTCTTTGGTGGACTGCCTCCGCTGCGGAATAGCCCGGACGAAGTTTATCAGAGACTGTATCTCAGGGTGAAGGAGCGGAATGAGAAGTACTACGCGAAATACCCCGAGGATGTGGAACGCGTGAAGCGGATTGTCAAGCTCCTAGGACGATTCGGTGATCAGACAGTAAGGGTGCAAGGAGGTGAAGGGTATATGAGTCCACGGCGGTTCCTGCAAATGGGAATCTCCTTTGGAAGACACGGTAAGCCTCCTCTCATCACCCCAAGCATCTTTCTTGAAAGATAGACGATGCTGATAAAACGCAGGCGGCTTTGACTACGTCCACGAGCTTGTTCTCCGCGCTGACACGGACCTCACTCAATTCGGCCACCTGACCCGCCCCACCATCATGGAGATCGAAAGCCGTGAGGGGTTTGACACAAACGTCATCTACGCACTGCTCCATGAACCATGCTATTGTCAAGGCGAAGCATCGAGTTGGTCTGCCGAGCGCCTACTCCAGCGATTCCCTGAATTCGTCGTCCAAACAGGCGACTCTTATCCCACCTACTTCACAGGCGAAATGGTTTACCCGTTTATGTTCGAGTGCTTCCCTGAGCTGACCAAGCTTTCCAAGGTTGGGCATGCGCTTGCGGAGGAAAAAGATTGGCCGAAGCTGTATGATGAGGAGCAGTTGGCGAAGAATGAGGTTCCGGTTTATGCGGCAGTGTATTTGGATGATATGTATGTAGATTATAAGCTGAGTATGGAGACGGCAGGGAAAATCAAGGGGTGCAAGACATTTGTGACGAATACGATGTATCATGACGCGATTAGGAGTAAGATGGATGACGTGATTAAAGGGGTTTGGGCGTTGAGGGATGATGTTATTGATTGAGCGCTATTGTACTCGAAACGATTGATAAAATGCACGTCTTTATCTTGACCTTGGAGTATGGATAGTTTATAATCATCTATAACTTTGCTTTCACCCCATTCCGATAAACCCTCACCGCTTTCTCCAACTCTCCCGGCAAATCCACATCCCAAATCCATCGCATCCTCTCCAACATATTTGCCTCCACCTTGTCTAAATCATCTCCCTCAAGCTCAAAGTCATACAACATGCCCGCTTCCTTACTTGTCTCGACTAACCTCTGCGTCCTTGGTCTCCGCACTTGATCATACGCTTCAAACACCTTGTGCAAGTCTTCGACGACGCTCGCCTCCTTCATCAAATTGCTCAAGATATACGCATCTTCGATGCACATGCCGGCTCCAGCGCCTTGGTGGGGAGTAGTGGCGTGTGCAGCATCACCGAGAAGGCAGACTCGGTCCTTGAAGTAGGTGGGTGCAGGAGGGTGGTTGAAGAGGGCCCAGATGTCAGGTTTCTGCATGGCAGAGACAATAGAGAGAACTTGGGGGCCCCAGGAGGAGTAGTCGGCAAGCATTTCTTCCTTGGTGGTACGGACGACCCAATTTGGATCATCCCAGGTTTCACGGGAGTTGAATGCCACCACTGTGACTGAATCAGCTATTGTGATGACTGTGGTGTTTGGGTAGGTGGGTGTTATACCGTTCATCGTCTTCCCCTTTTCGATAGGAAAGGTTAGTAGATGCCCGTGATATCCAAAGTACATTTGCGAATTCTTTGCCTTTTCCTCGCCCAATATTTCAATCGCCTTCTCCATCGGTATCAGCCCCCTATACGCATACTTCCCGGAGAACACAGCTCTTGCGGCAGGATCCTCTTTCCCCAGCAATATCTCCCTCGTCCGCGACTTAATCCCATCGCATCCAATAACCGCACTATGTTGTGCAGCCGTGCCATCCGCAAACCTCAGCACCACATCCCCCGACCCATCTTCCGCGTCCTCAAAATCCACCAACTTCTTCCCAAACCTCGACACATCCTCCGGTACTAACTTGACCATCTCGTCCAAAAAATGCGCGCGATGCACACCACCCCGACTCCAACTACTCTGAAACGTATGCTCGAATAAAATCTCCCCAACCTTGACTCCTCCGCTCCCAGCCCTCCTAACAAACCCCTCTTTATCCGCCTTCCGCGCATCCCCGACCCGAACACTAAACCAGGAATCTAGACATCTCTCGCTCGGATTCACGGTTTTACAGCGGTCAAATGCTTCTTTAATCTTGGGCGATATGAGTTCCATTGCTGTCGCTGCGTTTGGACCGAAGGCAACACCTGCACCAATTTCGCCGAAGCGCGGCGCTGATTCGTATAGGATGAGCGGGATGGAGTGCTGGAGGAGGGAGATGGCGAGGGTGAGGCCGGCAATACCTCCCCCGATTATGGCGACGTTGAAGGGCTTTTGGGTGGAGGTGGAGGGTTCGGACGAAGCCATGGCGGGCTGGGTGGATCGCGACATGAATAGGTGATGAAAGAGGTGTAGAAGGTGATATGAAAGCTAGATGTTGCAGTCAGCTATGTTCTACGCAGGGAAAACGGAAGTTCCACTGCAATTGAAGCTTGAAATTGTACCTTTGAATATATTTATGCTACCCTGTAGTTTCTTGCACAGCTCCAATTTCAAATCATGCAAGACTAATTCTCATCCCTCATAAGAAAAATATTTCTCAATCAACGTTCTTACTCCCATCCGAGAGGAACTGCGCCGCTTAAAAGCCATGACAACTAGGCGCTGGGGCGGACCTGACCTCCATCCCGAAATTATATCCGGCAGATAGCAGTTGAGGGGTCATCGTTCCGATCGGAAGCGAGGTGGGATCGTCACGAGACGAGTGCTACAAACGCTAGAACACACAATACACTGGTTTGGCCCATCCCCGGTGGCAACATATCCCGAGGAGCCAGATCACGAACTTGGAAGGGAAAGCCGACATCCGACCGCCAACATTAACCAGCCGGAAGACCTAAAGGTTTTAGGGACCCGCCACGCTATCAAGCGATACCTTTGAGCCTTTTAGAGTTTTCCATGAAAGAAGGCGAGTGTTTTGCTTTAACTATGTGCAGAGGATTTTGCAGAGAGGGGTATGGAAGAGAAGGATATTGGAATGAAGAGCTCAGAAAGCTGTGATATATCAAACGACGTCATCTCGGTTTTCTAACACCAGGAGTTTTAGGCCTTGATATAATATTAGAGACATGGCTAACTTGTTCCCAGAATTCGTATACAGATACAGATACATAGTCTCATGCAGAGGGAGCTAGTTGAAATGTCTCGAACATTGTCGTCTGCCGCACGGCAGCCTCCACCGGAGAAAGAGGACGACCCGGTAACGGTGCTTGTTACTGGCTTTAGGGTAGGCCCTTCCATATCTATCTCTTATCCACAGAAACCTTCCTTCATTTAGCATCTTTTCATTCAAACTGTCTAGTCTTTTTTTCCCCTTTATGTCTTGCTTTAAGCCTAAGCCACGCTACATTACTTCTGTGCCCCATTCCCACAACAACCCTGGGGAACAAACGACCCTATCGACAGATCCTCCCCTTAACCTCTCCCACGAACCTAACCCTTGCCCAGCCCTTTCTCCAAAAATTCCCCAAAAACACCTCCTGGGAAATCGCCTCCACCCTACCCGCCCTCCTTCCCTCCTCTCCCTCCTCTCCAACTCCCATCCACATCCACGTGCACCACGAACCCGTGCGCGTCACCTACTCGCACGTCGTGTCCTTCATCCCGCAGCTCCTGGCCCCCGCAAACTCAATAACCCCGCGGCCCGACATCATTCTGCACATCGGTCTCGCTGCCGATCAAAGTTTCTACACGCTAGAGAAGGGTGCGCAGGGGAGGGGGTATGGTGCGATTCCGGATGTCGATGGCGGACGATTTGGAGATGAGAGGATGGAGGAAATGTTCCCGAAGGGAATGTTTCCGCAGGTGTTGGAGACGAGTTTGGATGTCGAGGATGTGTTGAGGCGGTGGAGGAGAGGGGTGGGATATGAGAATCCAGATGAGGAAATCGGAGTGCAAGATGAGAAAACGAAGACGCCTGACGTGCGCAATTCCCCCGATGCCGGGAATTTCATGTGTGGATTTACCTACTACAATTCCCTGGCGCATTATTTCTCAATCAAGAAGGACGAAAGACCAGTTGTATTTTTGCACGTCCCAGATTTGAGCGATAGCGATGAGAAGCTGGCTGTGGGACGCGAGGTTACGATTGCGCTAATCAAAGCCGTGGTTGAGAGTCGACGGAAGAAAGGCGTTGTAGATGGGGTTCCAAGAGTCGCGGATGGTGGTGAAGACGGAGATGTTAAGGCAGGGACAGATGTTAATTTTGCAGAACATTGATAAATGAGGAAGAAGAGGAAAGGGAAGAAGATTGATGAGGGTGGGGACTAGGGGCCATATACAAGACGTGGGAATTTTCCTTTGTTACAAACCACATTTTGGTTTGAGGCTCTTTTTGATATCAGTCAAGCATATATTTTGATATCTCTTTTCAACACAGAACGAGCATATAGAAATCATTACATGTGGTACGTTTTCCTATAAACTTGAAACATTCCTCCATATTCCTGGCCTATTGATGTGTGTCCTCGCTCCACTTGGAAAGTAATTCACGACACCGCAGATCTATATCCAATGCTAATTCGGCAACAATTTCTGACTCCCGGGCGGTATCCCCCCCACATACTCTCCCGTGAACAGGGTGTCCTCTATGTTCTTCATCTCTTCCTCATCTCCAGTCTGATTTGGAGTAGGTGAATAAGATAAAGAGTTACCGACGGATAATGTGCCGAGGCCTCTGGAAAGACTCGATAACCCCACATGAGAGAAAGGAGGTTGAGGGTATAGGAATGACAAGCGATGAGATAGTAGAGGTCCTAGAGCCGACATTCAGGAAGCTATTTTCTGCTGTTGCTTTTGATCTCTTGCCATGGCGCGTCCCTAGCTTTCCTGGGAGCCCAATTCTCCTCATTCGCTAGACCTCTCTCATTCTTTTTCCGCTCGATCCCTTGGAGTCCGTCTAATGTAGTACTTATTTAGTACATTACACTTTTCTTTAACTCGGAGGGAGGGAGAAGATCTTCGCATACCTTTAGTAAGATTCGCGTGTCGTAACGCGAGAGCAGGTTTATTAAACATAAGATAGTTCTTGCCTGGATACCAGTTTCCCAAGGACCAAGTAAAAAGGGCCCTTTTCAAGGACTAGGAATGTTGTTTTTCGGCTCGTGGCCGCGTTGACAGTATACCATGTGACATCGAGCTTCCCACAAAGCTGAAACAACTCGCCTCCGAGAGGTGGTCTGCTTTCATTGCCTAGATTTTGTCCTTAAGTGATGCACGTTGGATGGCCTCGATAGAAATCCAGTTCCCTCTACTGCTAGTATCCTGCATTCCTCGATTGATCTTGATCCGCTTACAGCGCCCTTATCCCTCACCACCGTAGTCTACCTCTCTATTAGACTTCTATTAGAGTTGAGTCAACAATGCTAGACCCCTATTCAATTCCACCTTGAACCGAAGAGTTTCAAAACCTATATAGTACACCTATGTCTTGAAAGAAATCGCAGAGTCCTTTGCATCAAGGCCCCAGACTATATCTCAATCCGCAGTATTGTCACTTCAGGCTTGCCAAAAGAGCCTCGAAGATGTAAGGAATGTGCATGAATGTAATTCAATAAAGGTACCCGCGATTCTAGAAAGGGCAAAATGAAGCAAGCATTCAGGTTGCTCACAATGGAAGTCCGAACGATGACGGCAGAGCCCCACATTCAGCAATTCACATACCAAGCACAAGCGTTAATACAATTCATGAATAAGTGAGTTCGCTTATGTTTAGAAGAGAGGACAGTTAACTCCGATAGAGGCTTGACGTAGCACCACTCTCTCCCAGATTGCCTGGGATCTCCAAGTCGTACGTGAATCGCAAATCCAGTTCGAATAGCGACAGCTTAGCGCCATTGTGCAGAAACTAGATGTCCTGAGAGAAGACTCCAGGAAGTTGAACTCCGCGTTTCGCAAAGGCTCTTAGGGTAGGGATTTAACCTTCCACACCTCCCCTGAACTAGGCACGGACATCCAGCCCTACTCCTCCACACGCATCTTCCGCATAAACAAAGTCCTCAGCGCAATCCTATCATTTCTCCTCCCAAATCTCACCACCCTAGTACTCCTTTTCGTAAAGCGGATGCTGGTCTGGATTGAATTCGTTGTTGTTTTCACAGCGGCATTCTCATTTCCGTTGCCTGTGACGACGGGAACTAACAAAATCAGTGTTTCCTCTGCGACGGCAGTGTTTGCGGCTGTCGAGGTCATTTTTATCGGGATTACAGCTGGGACGATGGAAAGGAAAGGGACTGCTTAATGTGATGGGTGTGGTTGATTGGCGCGGCTTCTGAGGCCTAGCATATCAGATATGAGAACATCACGTGGCCGACCTATCATCAGTCTAACAGAGTTCAACGTCAACCACGAATTCAACCAGTTTTAACACGAATGTATATTCCTTGCTAATACACACAACGCAAGTGGTATATAGAAAACAAATCTCTCATCTTCCCCAGTTTCTAGCCCGAACATTCAAACGGAAAAAAACTAGATATCAAAAGAGAGAGATCGGAAACACATGATCCAACTTCCTTTATACCAGGTCCAAGAATCCTCTAGCGCAAGTACGCTCGCTCAGCATCTCCAACCAGCCGGCTATTCGTTATCCAAGATAGGAGAAGGGACATGAAAATCCCTGGTCCACTACAATGCCAGTTTCTAAAGCGCTCCACCAACCATCCCCAACATAGAAAAAGAGTCTTGCCCCACCTCAGCCTATTCCAACTACCTCTTCCCCCAAAGCCCCTGCTGCGCCTCCCTAATCCTCCTCTCCTGCTCTTTAATCATCTCCTCCGTCTGTCCATGCCCATTGCCCCTACTGTCAATCTCCATCGCATCCCCATCCTCACCCTCCACCGGCTGCGGCACATTTGCCGGCGGCGCACCCTTCCTAGGCTCATTCGACCGAACGCCATCCATCATCCCCGCCGCGCCTCCTGCTCGCAACTGGTTAATAGCTCTGATAGTGTCAATAGCCGCATGAAGGGTTCTTCTTGCATTGAAATTCTTCTTGACGGTTGGGAGCAAGTCCTCTTCGCCCTCGCCGGCGCCCGTTTTGTCAATGTTGGCGATCCAGGGGTGGGACAGGGCCTCATGGGCTGTCATGCGGGCGGCTGGGTCGATGGTGAGACAGCGGCGGATGAATTCGCGGGCCGTGAGCGAGACGCCGCGCCAGTATTCGAGAGGTGTGAAGGAGTAGTCGGCGATGAGGATGGCTTGCATTTCTTCGAGGTTGGAGTCTCGGTCGAAGGGCGTATAGCCGCAGAGGAGGAAGTAGGTTATTACGCCGATGGCCCAGACGTCGCTTTGTGAGGTCAGTTTTGGGGAGGTTTTGACGAATTGTTCAATAGGAAAGGGGAAAAGAGGTTCCCGCTTACACAGGCTTGCCATGGCCCGTCTTTCTGAAGATCTCGGGCGCCATATACCCGGGGGTACCACAGGTAGTCGTGAGGACATGGAACTGCTCCTCATCCATGATGCGGGACAGCCCGAAATCCGCAATCAACAAATCAGCATTGTCCTCGGGTGTTCGGAAGAGCAGGTTCTCGGGCTTGAGGTCCCTATGTACAATGCCGTGGTCGTGAAGGTATGCGACGGCCGAGAGCGTGGCTCGAATCAGATCGGCCGCATCGGACTCGTAGTAGTTGCCTTTACGGCAGATGCGGTCAAAGAGCTCGCCGCCGAGGGCGAGATCGGTTACGAGGTAGACTGAAGGCGAATATCAGTATGATCTAAGTAATCATGTCCAATGGAGGGGCATCGTACGATTGTTCATAGTCTCAAAGTAATCCACTAATGTCAGGATATTCCTGTGACCCATTGAGACCCTCTTGAGGACTGCGATCTCGTTCCTGACCTGTGACAGTACCTGTCAGCATGGGGTTCTGTTCAAAAGCGTGTCTGTTCTGATAATGAAATGTACGGACCATGTGTTCCCTCCCCGCCATCAGCCTCTTGTTGATCACCTTAGCGGCATAGTATCTCCCCGTATCAATATGCACGCACTCCTTGACGACTGAGTAGCTGCCTGCACCGAGCGTCTTCCCTGTCTTGTAGCGACATGGCTGGATCTGAGCGGCTGGTTGGGGTGTATGCGAACCGGAGCCACCATTCGAAGCCATGCTCTCCTGTGCGACAAGGCCTGTGTGATGAGATGGACTGTGGTAGAATTGGGAATATTGGTTGGTAGCTTGAGCGGTGCTTGCGAGCGCGAAGCAGTGAAGGATTCGGAGGTAAGCCTGAGGATTCGAGGGGGAGTACAATTGGAAAGGAGAACGATGGTTCGAGGCACGAGGCTTATGCACGACTCAACACGTGCCAGTGCGTTAGGCCAACGGGCTCGTAGTGGCCGTAATTCTAAATTCTCAGCGCGAATACGTGCGGATACTCTGTCAGCGGATCGCAGTGTTCGGGAGATTAGGACCGTGGGGGAGAGGGGTGGGGAGGGGAGATGGTTAGGCGGGCAGTCAAAATCTAGCGCCAGCAGTATCCACTAATCAACAATAAATAACAGTGAAGGGGGAATGATAGTGGTGTAGATTCGAAGAGTGAAAGAATAGTGAGAGCTGAGCTGAAACTCAGGGTGGTGTGCGCAAGGGAACTGGGATCCGTCTGTCTGTCAGTTGGTGGGGTCCGGTGAACAGCCCCTGCCCTTGCCTAGGCCGTAAACTGACTAGCGAAACGATGCACAGAGCGGGAACATGGAGGGGCAGCGATCTCCACAATTAGACAGCAAGGACGGCAATAAAATGTCCCTGAAAAGCAGGCAATATTCTTGCTCTTCTCAAGCATGGCTCTTCTTTCTCGCTGGCGAGCTGGAATCTGGGGGTCGGGCCTCCGTGATGCTTCAGGGGCCACTGCTCTACTCGCCACACGAGAATCTCATCGCCTCCCTCTTGCCAAGCTAGGCCCCGCGACTGGCAGACTGGCATTCCCGAAAACAAGAAATGTGTGTACCATCAGAAAAACCATCCTATGCCATGCCATTTGTACTCCCATATGCATTTGCTATGTAGAATATGACCTCTTCCCAGGTCTATCGCTTGATTTCTATGTCTGGTTTTCTATACGTACATCGTTGCGTGCATTCGTCAGCACGTCGACAATCGAGGAAAATATCGGGACAAGATCTGCGGGAACGCCGTGGCCAATGCCTCACGCCTTGATCAGCAAGCTGTGGCCGTCCATGTCCTCTGGCTGCGGCAGCCCCATGGTGGCCAGAATCGTGGGCGCAACGTCTCCCAGCACACCATCTGTATTTTTCAGGCTGTAGTTCTCTGGCGCATTGGCCATGACGAAGGGGACTTTGTTCGTCGTGTGCGAGGTTTTCGGCTTGCCTTCGTCGTTGAGCATCTCTTCAGCGTTGCTATCTGATTGTTAGCGTTTCATAGCACTCATCCCCGAAGCAGTCTCACCCGTGATCAGCAGTGACGAAGAGGACGTATCCGCTCTCTTTGCACTGCTCGTACACCTTCTTGATCGCTCGGTCTGTCTCCGTCACGCCCTCTATCGCCGCTTTGTACACGCCCGTGTGGCCAACCATGTCCGGCGGGGCAAAGTTGTTCATCAGGAACTCAAACTTGCCCTCCCGGATTCTCTCGCACAGCTTCTCCGCGACAGCCATGGCACTCATCTTGGGCTGTAAGTCGTATGTAGCAACCTTGGGGGAGGAGATCATGTCACGCTCCTCCATGTCGAACTGCTTCTCAACACCGCCGTTGAAGAAGAAGGTCACGTGAGCATACTTCTCCGTCTCGGCGACGTGGCACTGCTTGATGCCCTGCTTGGCCAGCCATTCTGCGAGCACGTCGTTCATGCGCTGGGGAGGGAAGGCGATTGGGAAGGGGTACTTGACGTTGTATTGGGTCATCGTCGTGACGGAGATGTCTTTGGGGTAGGGGAAGTCGGGCTTGGGAGATCGGTCAAAGTCACCCATGAGCTGGGTGACTTCTCGGACTCGATCCGAGCGGTAGTTAAAGAAGAAGAGGGTATCGCCGTCTGCTGGGATTAGCCTGGGGACATCTGGGTGCTCGTTCGGTACTGACCTTGGATTCTTCGACCCTTCCCGCCGACAATTATGGGCTTTAGGAACTCGTCCGTCTCGCCCTTCTCATATCTCTCCCTGATCGTTGCGACGGGATCGCTGCTGTCTTCTCCTTCTCCCGTAACAAGGCCCTTCATGCCAACCTCGACTCGGTCCCACCTCTTGTCACGGTCCATGATGAAGTACCGGCCAATTATCGTTGCGATCTCGCCGGCTCCGATTTCCTTGGCCGCCTTCAGCAGATCCTCGAGATACCCCGCCCCGGACTTGGGGTCAGTATCGCGGCCGTCGCCGAAGAAGTGGATGTAGACCTCCGGGACTTCCATATCCTTGGCAACCTTGAGGAGAGCTATCAGATGGTTGATATGCGAGTGCACGCCGCCATCCGACACCAGACCCAGCAAATGCAGCCTCCCATTGCCATTCTTTGCCCGACTGAACGAGTCCTTGATATTCTTGACATCCTTCAATTCGCCCTTTTTGATAGTCAGGTCAATTCGCACGACGTCCTGCCAGACGACCCTGCCAGCGCCAATGTTGAGATGTCCAACCTCGCTGTTACCCATCAGACCCTCGGGAAGGCCAACAGCGAGGGAGGAAGCTTCGAGTTCGGCATATCCCTGGGCCGTTTTCGATCCCTCCTTTGCGAAGTCATCCATGCACGGGGTATCGGCGGCGAGAATAGCATCGCCCTCCTTCGGGGAAGTTTCGCTGGGGATGCCCCAGCCATCAATGACGATGAGGACTGCTTTCTGGTCGACAGCGACCATGGTGCTAAATTCAAATGCACGAATTCACTTGAGAGGAGAAGAAACAGCTCAGAGGAGAATCTGAGCGGTGAGGAAAATATTCTGCAGCCCCGGAGGTGAGAACAGGTGACTGGGTTGCACTCCGGGCTGAGTGAGGGACAGGGTACGTTGGCGGGGACCCCTCGAATTGGAGCTCCAAAAGCAACATCCGAGAAAGCTCAACAACGTCACGCCGTCCCAATTCCGCCCACCCACCCTCACACGCCCGCGGCCGGAAGATAAGCCTCTGTAAAAACGCGCATCGCCCTCTCATCGGACTGACATCAGGAAATTCAGCAGCTTCGGGTGCCCGCGCATACAGCACACGAGACAGGTTTACATAGACCAATCGGTCAACCGTTTGTTCCAATCCCTGAGTCGGAGCGAGTCGGAGACGCTGCTCATCCCACGCCGGCAGCCTCAACACCACGCCAACTATACAGACCGTGAGACAATTCCTTATTCATCATGTCTGGGCCTGCGACACCCCACCTGCCCGCGTCCGCCAATACCTCAGTTCAACCCACGGACTCCGCTACGCCTACCCTGCCGACCGCGACCGCCCCTCCGCTCCCTTCGCCAGCGACCTTTGACGTCCTCCCCGACCTCCACAAGCTCCTCGGCCGCCTCATAAACACCTCCGCCCAGCTTCCGGCTCCTACTCCGACGCCCTCGCAGCCCTCTGCCGACGGTCCGCTCGAGATGCAGCATCTTGGGACCGAGGCCAACCATCTCAAAATCAAGATCCAGAAGGCGCAGAAGGCTGTCATGGCCCTTCCGGATATCGATCGCACGTGCGAGGACCAGGAAGAGGAGATTGAGGACTTGGAGGCGAGGATCGCGAGGCTGAAGGATGCGCTGCGTGGGCTCGGCGAGCCGCCGAGCGGAGATAAGGCGGAGGATGCAGATATGAGTATGACGGGGTGAGATGCTCGCAAAGAACACGATTGATGACATACAGGCGGCTCGACCGATTGCCTGCAGCCGCTCTTCTTGGCGCTTGCCAATGCGACCTCCTGATAGTATGTCCCCGTGTCGTCGATGGAGCATATAGGCTAATCTCGAATATAGGCCAAGGGAAGCTGTGAGACTGAAGCTTCTTAACCTCAGAAGTTGTCCAAGGCATTGCTTTACTTGAGATCCGGCTAAGACTTTTATGCGCCTCTATAGAGACTCGGAGCCCTCTTCCATAGTCCAGGGCCCCTCCCTGGTTGGCCTGCCGAAGAACGTTAACTCCATTATGGTGTTGCACATTTTCGTTTTATCTTCCCATGAGGCCCTTTCAACATCAAGATACTGCAAAATCAACGCGCGAACAAATATCAGATAGACGCAGCTAGCCGACAACAAACCGATACTACACGTTGTCTTAATTCATGCCCTGATACGTAACCTACCGTCATCTCCTTCTTCACACCTCGAGAATGTCATAGTTTTTCTGGAGTCAAATGCGTCATCAATTCTTCTTCTTCTTCTTCTTCTTCTTCCTCTCCGCGGAATGCTGACCAATACTATAACACACTTGATATGGGCTGTGCTCTGTCACTCAATCCTTTTCCCAGTCTGGCAAAGCGAGCCCGCGTTACGTCACATCAACCCAAGTTTCAAGATGCCATTAGTCGTGGATCTGGTTCCGTTTACGAAGTTATTTCAAGGCCACCAAGAGCACGAGCCGAAGTTTCCGTGAAATGAACCGCAAGGGAAGATATTCTCCTTCAAATACTAGTAGCAGAAGCATTAAATCCTACAGAATGATCGAAAAGGATCCCGAGAATTTATTTCCCTTGATGACAGTATTTGGCCCTCGGCTACAGAGGTGCAAAACTAGATACGGGCTTGCCGGCGTCGATACAATATGCTCCGATATGCCTATTGTTAATCAAAGACCTTCACTACCCAGTACGCCTTGATATGTTCTAGGACTCGAGTGTCACGTTCGAAATGGTTCACTTTCGTACTAGTCGCTACTTCTATAGACGGGTACCGACAACTTTTCCTGACTTCCGTCATGTATTCCTAGCGGCTTATCGTGAAGGCGGCGCAGATTTACAAGTTCCTGACCAAGAATACGAAGCTGTGGGACATGAAAGAGATTTTAACGCCATATAAAAGTTGCAGCGCCTAAACCCCTCCAGGACAGCATTAGCACTAACGAGAAGAGTCTTTTCAACCGCATACATCTTTCTCCTGATTCACTCACAAACTCTTCGCCTATTCGCCTATTTGCTTGTCTCATCCGACGCTTATGTCAGAAAACCATATCCGCACGCATAGAGAACTTGCTGAACGCACGATCAAATACCTATCCTTGTTGTCGCACATGGCGAATTGCGTCTAAAGTTTCCTTCTAAAATAGTGAAGGGGCAATCTACAACTGCCCTGTTAACTGTAAGGTTCCTAACTATAGCAAAGAGTATATGAGCATGAAACTAGCAGCAGTCCCTAACAACCGAAGACCTTCCCAACAATATCCCCCACCCAATCGTTCTGCACAGCACTAACCCCCTTTGCCCACGCCTTTGTCGTAAAGACAAACTCGCTGAACACAATAGCCTCCGTCTTACGTCCAAACATCACAGAGCTGGGATGGATAGCTACAGTTTGCTTGTACATCAGCGTTCTGTAGCTGCCATCTGGCATGAGGGTGGCAGTATTTGCTAAGAAGCCTCGGAGAAAGCAATGTAAGATATTTTGGGTGTGGGATTCCGATGGCATGGATGAGGTTGGACTCGAGATTGAAGACGGAGGGAGGAGTTTCAATTGCGTGCACTGTTGGCGGAGTTGTTTGCGGATATTCTAGAGGTGTTTGATCAGCATACTTCGTACATTCAGACAAGTCAGCCAACGAAACTCACCATGACATTCTGCATCGCCCTGTGTGACACAAAATGCCGCTCGCACCATGCCTTCCGATCCGAGTTCTCCTCTGCATATCGTTGCACCGTCGTTAGAAGGGTCATGTGATCGCCCGCTCTCTTATACAGATCTCGTCTTGCCGCCTCGGCCTCCTCTTTCCGTTCCTCGCTAACTAGGTTCAGGAAGATGTTGGTCTCAACACTGAGTGCAGATATGATGTCGATAACTTCGAGCAAGCAATCGCGTTCTGGGGCTGCTGCTTCGAGCAGAATTCGCCCCAGCGTTGGGGTTAGTGGTAATTTCGACATCTTAAGTCCAATTTCGCTGATCGTACCGATCTCGGTCAGAGCGCCTAGATGCAGAAGTTGAAGGAGAGCTTTCTCTAGAGCTTCCCCAGGCGGCCGATCCAAGAATGGAAAGTTGACGACGTCATCTACACCTCGAGCCTTCATCATCAAAATCGAGTGACTCAGATCACATCTCAGAATCTCGGGCATTGTCCTCTCTTCAAGGCCGTTGTAACTGTCCTCAGTATACAGTCGGTAGCACTGCCCTGGTGCTTCTCGACCAGCTCGCCCTTTGCGCTGGATGGCGGCGGATTTCGAAATGGGCTTTACAAGAAGGGACTCGAGACCCAGACGGTTCCGGAACTGCTTAATTTTGGACTTTCCACAGTCGATGACGAAGCGAACGCCGGAAACGGTGACGGAAGTCTCGGCGATATTGGTGGCAAGGATGACTTTGCGGGTTCGGTGGGGTGCAGGCGTGAAAATTCGTTGCTGGGCGTCTTGGGGGAGTGCAGCGAAGAGCGGGAGGGCAAGGAGCTGGAACAATTAGCGGAACTCAGACTGTTTTTCAGGACACTTCTTACCTTTGGCACTTCCTTCTCCATCTTTTGCGCATACTCATTGACTAGTTTCTCAAGGGACTCGATAATTTCTTGGCCGGTAAGAAATACAAGGATATCTCCTGGCAATGGCTCTTTGTAGTGGATCTGAAAGATCATTTTCAAAGCTCCTTCAACGAAGTCTTGCGTAGGCTCTGAAAGATATATTGTCTTGACGGGGTACTGACGCCCTTCTACGAAGCAAGTCGAAACGTGTGTTGCTTCTGGCAAACTTGAGAGCGGTTTCTGTATCAGATCATTTCTCGACGCTTTAATTGAATCAGCGTTAGCAGTAGGCTCTTCATCGGACAATATTCCCGACCACGAGCTCTCTGACTGGACATCATCCCCATTTCCTACCCTGGAAGCGGCCCCACTATGCTGGCTACCATTCTCGGAGCTCTGAAGGCCATTCCCAAAGAATCGGACTAAGCTTTCTACATCTGCAGTAGCGCTCATAATCACAATTTTTAGAGGAGCCTTCCTCCTGTTGCTTTTCACCTCCAAAAGGTTCTTTAGAAAGCCAAGAATTAAATCCACGTTGACGCTCCTCTCATGCACTTCATCCACTACGACTGCGCTATATTGCCCAAGCTCTGGATCGCGAAGCATCTCTTGAAGTAGCATGCCCTCGGTGAGGAATTTAACCCTTGCGTTTGGTCCAGTTGCATTATCAAAACGTACACTGTATCCGACTTGAGCGGCCGGGCCCTGGCTTCCAAAAAGGCTCCCCATTTCCTCAGCCACGCGGCGGGCTAAAGAAATTGCAGCAACTCGACGTGGCTGGGTGATTGCAATGCATTTAGTGCACCATTTTTCAGAAAATAAGAACTGCGGGACTTGGGTCGACTTTCCAGAGCCGGTCTCACCTGTCAAGACGAGGACATTGTTTTTGCGGAGTGCTGCTCGGATAGATTCGGCATGCGGCCAGATTGGGAGGGCTTTTCGTATGGGTAAGAGCGCATCACGTCGTTTCAGGAGGTGACTTTGAGGATGCTGAGAAGTGATATTGGCATGCCTCTGAGGTTGCTGTAGCTGTTTTCTTAGGGGCAGCCGTTGTAGTGCCCCCGTGTGAGATTCTGTCTTGCCGTCGCCGTTGGGTAAACCGGACTGTTCTGACTTGTGACGTGGTATACTTGACGGAAGGATATTTGCCTCCCCGGGGCCATCCAATTTCATAGCCTTTCCACCTCTTTTTTTTAATTCCAATTCCCGACTCTTGCTCTGTGAACCAAAGTCATCATTCCGTTTTCGTTTCCTGCCCTTGTTAAGCCCGGGAAGCTTCTGCGGGGCCATCTGTTGCGCTGCTGGTATTATCTGGGGTTGAATATTCATTTCCATCTTCCTTGGTTTTTTTTTAGGCATATTGACATGGAGTGTGTAAGTTGGAGCTTCGTGATTCCGTTCACGAACTTTTTCTGTGGCTTATCGATAAGGGATTTGCCAAGACGCTACAGATCCATCAGGTGGTTTTGGGTCGACACACCCTATCATTCATTACTGCGTTTCTCATCTTTCAGTTTCCAAAGTATTTCCGTCCAAACTGAATTCCCTTGGTTATCCGACGAGCGTTGTGGATTTGGGAGCTTCAAGATGGCCTCGTTCCTGGCTTCTGCTCGGTATCCATTTCCCCGGCGTCCCCGGCCAGGCTATGTCGATCACCAGCCCCGCGAACCGCTCCCCATTATCAACCGGTAATTTATCCATCAATGTAAAGTAGATCATCTCAATTGCAGAACCGGGACAAGATCTAGGTATGCCTGGTTCCATATATCATTAAAATGGATCCCAATCCTGCTTCAACACCGTCATGATTTCCGCGATGTCGGCCTCTCGATCCTGGAGAAATGTGCTACTCTTTCTTCTCTGCGTGTTACCTCAGGTACAATGTATCATTGACCGCGAATCAATAGTCCGCCAATTTAATCTTAGATTAAATCAGTCTCATTCATACAGCCCTGTGCAAGTCGGGAATGGCAACTTCGCATTCGGAACTGATATCACGGGTTTGCAGACCTTTGTTCCACACAATATACTCTCGTCTTGGGGCTGGCACAACTCCTCGCTGCCTAACACTCCAAACCAAACCTTCACGACAGATTTCACGGGCTTGGACTGGTATACGCATGGGCGACTAGTAAACTATGCGCAGCCAAACCCTACGGAAAAGGACATCAGCCAGTGGATGATAGCGAATCCGCATCGGATCAATCTTGGAAGAATTGGACTCTGGTTTGGCGGCAGGAATGTTTCTGAAAAAGATCTGATGGGAAAGATGCAAGTTCTCGATCTCTGGGAAGGGGTCATATCATCATCATTTATGCTTAATGGGATGAAGGTTGAGGTTCAGACGGTTGCAAGCCCAGAGACGGATACCGTGGCCGTCGAGATCGTATCTAAGTTGCTAGAGAAGGGGCAGTTGGGCGTATTCTTCGATTTCCCGTATGCGAGTGGAAAGAACAAGTTCGATGTTCCATTTGTGGGTGTTTGGAATGCGACAGCGAACCACAGCACAGGTTTGGAGAAGAGCGGGAATGGGGCGAGCATTAGGCATACCCTTGATGCAACAAGCTATGTCACTGAGCTTGCCTGGGAGGGCAGCGCAACCATAGATGGGCCCATGAACGGAACGCACCGATATATACTGAAACCTGGGAAGGACGACGACACGTTCTCATTTACTGCAACTTTTGCGCCGAAAAAGGAGGCGACGGTCGGAAGCTTCGGAAATGTGAAAGCAAGGGCTGTGGATTTGTGGCACGAGTATTGGGAATCCGGAGCTTTCATCTCTTTACCCCTTGCGAACGCCTCTGCGAAAGAACTCCAGCGGCGCATTGTCCTCTCACAATATTTGCTTGCTGTCAATGGCGCCGGCCGCGATCCTCCTCAAGAATCGGGATTGGTAAACAATGGATGGTACGGGAAATTCCACATGGAGATGGTGTTCTGGCATCTGACGCACTGGACTATATGGAACAAGTGGTCATTATACGACCGTAGCATCGGCGTATTCGAACGGTTCCTCTCTACCAGCTTCGAACGAGCCCAACATCAAGGTTACCTGGGAGCACGCTTTGGAAAGATGAGCGATCCAACAGGGCGCTCGGCTCCAGGCGAGATCAACAGCTTGTTGATTTGGCAACAGCCGCATCCAATGTACTTTGCAGAGATGGAGTATAGGAAATTCCCAACGGAGAAGACACTGAAGAAGTGGGATCAAGTCTTGACCGCCGCAGCAGACTTTATGGCGAACTATGCATGGTTCAACGAATCGACCAAAGTGTATGATCTTGGACCGCCCATGTATCCAGTGTCGGAGAACACGAACCCGAATCAGACCATTAACCCGACCTTCGAGCTTGCATATTGGAGATTTGGGCTGGATATTGCGGAGAAGTGGCAGCTGAGACAGAACAAGTCCATTCCTTTGAACTGGCATTTCGTGAAGGAAAATCTGGCGCCTTTCCCCGTAGAGAACGATGTGTACGTCCTATACGATGGCGTTAAGAACATGTGGACAACACCCAGCTTGTCTGAAGACCATCCAGGTCTTCTAGGTGTCTATGGGTGGCTTCCTCCGGACCCTCGTCTTAACCTCACCACTTTCAACAGGACCATCAATAAGGTGTATCAGTCGTGGAACTTCACGTACTCTTATGGTTGGGATTTTCCGCTACTCGCCATCACGGCGGGCAGGCTGGGAGACTCAGAAAGAGCAGTAAATTGGCTGCTAGATCCTGACAACCAGTTCGATGAAGTGGGCATGCCAGTTGGCGGAACAAGAGTTCCGACACCATACTTTCCGGCTAGTGCCGGTCTACTTCTTGCGGTTGGTATGATGGCTGGCGGTTGGGATGGATTGGAAGGGCCACTATTCCCCAAAGAGTGGAATATTGAGGTCGAAGGCTTCTCGAAGGCCATGTAGATAAAAGTCCTTGGAAACATATGTGCCCAGATATGAGAGGCCATGTCAATACTAAGACGTTGAAGTGTAATGTCCCGGGTTAGCCAATCCTACCCAATTCTAAGTGAGGTAATGCCAAGCGGTTCGCATGTAGCGTAGCATTACCAAAAGATAGCAAGAGAAAAAATTGTTGAAATGTTGAGGGCTTGTCAGTCTTTAGGCAGGAAGGAACGGTTACCAAATTCGCACTAGTGCGATTACACCCGATTTCTCGCCATGCTGCATTGTTTCTGCCGCAAGTGACGACAAACTTTCATCTATCTCTCGGTGGACCATTTTTCTCTACCAACAACTAGATCCCTACTCTCACGGCGGCAGCGCGTTCACACCTGTTTCCTGTACCCACATGGCCCCACTGACCATCGCAACAATTCTCGGTCAATTCCCTACCAGGGCGTGCACGATGATGACTTTCCGGGACGTCTTCTGTACCTGGCAATGTTTGCAATGGCGGGGTGGAATGGGTCGCGTGCCAGCAACGGTACGACTTCACTATAGTCACCTAAACCTAGAGCCCCTCTAAATGAAAGTATGAGGGGGGCTTCTTGAACGGCGTCTTGACGTAGTATAAAATGACAACATGCCCTGCCGGATGTTCCCACACCAGCCAAGGTATTCACACCTTTCACCATGATCGCCTCAATTATTTCTCTGCTGGTAGCCGCAGTTGCTCTGCTTGGAGGTCAAGCGGCTGCATACAACCGCCGGTTCATCGAAAATTCTTCAGATACGGAGCAGGTCATCATTTCTGGCGCTTCTTCCTTCAATGGCCTCAATCTTGTTCCTCAAATGGGATGGAACAACTGGAATGCCTTCCAGTGCAACGTGAGTGAGAGTCTGCTGCTTGACACTGCAGAAGCAATGGTGAACTTCGGCCTTAAGGACCTTGGATACAACTACATCGTTCTGGACGACTGCTGGTCTATTGGACGCAATGAGAGCGGTTACCTCATTCCAAATCGTAAGCGTCATTCAGCATCGTGAACTAAGATAACCCTGCTAACATGAGTCAGCGTTAAAATTCCCCAACGGGATGAAATACATTGCAGACAAACTTCACAGCATGGGTATGAAGTTCGGCATGTACTCCTCTGCTGGTGTGTTTACCTGCGGCAGGTATCCTGGCTCCCTCGGCTTCGAACAGCAAGATGCGGACCTATGGGCTAGTTGGGATGTCGACTATCTGAAGTACGACAACTGCTTCAACCAGGGTCAATCTGGAACACCTCAAATATCCTTCAATCGATACAACGTTATGTCTCAAGCCATAAATAAGACAGGTAGACCGATGATATACAGCTTGTGTAATTGGGGTAATGACGACCCATACGATTGGGCATATACGATTGCGAACTCTGGGCGCATGTCAGGGGACATCTATGACCAGTTCAACCGGCCAGACTCTCGCTGTCCCTGTACGGAAGCTGTTGGATGCGCATGGCCAGGATTTCACTGCTCTGTCATGAACATTCTCAATAAGATGGCCGCCATCCAATCACGAACCATGTCTGGCTACTTCAACGATATGGACATGTTGGAAGTGGGCAACGGAGGGCAATCCGACTCGGAATATGTTGTTCACTTCTCAATGTGGGCAATGCATTCTTCCCCTCTCTTGATTGGCACCAATGTCCTCACTCTCTCTCCCGCCAACCTCGCCATCCTTTCAAATCCTGCCATCATCGCTCTCAACCAGGACCCTTCCGCTAGCGCAGCCATTAGGAAATGGCAATATTTCATTGACCCAGACGAAACAGGCCAAGGCGAGATCGCGCTGTGGACCCGTCGCCTTGCCAATGGTGATCAAGTCATCGCTCTCCTCAACGCAGCCAACTCGACCATGAAGATGAATGCCACCATGAACGAGATCTTCCTCGACCCACGCACTGCGGGTGCATATCATGAGCCAGAGGAACTTCGCAAAACGTGGGATGTGTACGATCTTTGGGCGAACCGCCTAAGTGAATCAGAAGCTTCTGCCATCATTAACAGTACACCGATGATCGGTATCACAAACATGAACAGCACGAAGACCCCGAGGGCTACGAGGTACAATGCCACTACTACAAGCTATGCGGATGGACTAAAGAACAATGATACTGCTCTTCTTGGTCAAAAGGTTGGAAGCATTGAGCCTCGCGGGACGTGGGTCGCCGAGATCCCGCGACATTCAGTGGGCATGTATCGGCTGAGGGCGAGGCCGACAACGCGCATGCGGAAGCGGGATGAGTTGTAACACCCTCCGTGCCGAGATATATGAAGGATACATTGAATTCAAGCAACGCAAACTCCATGCACACCTTAATATTTGCTGCAATTCTATATACGTTATATTATACGATAACTATCTTAAAACATTTAGAAGCCTTTATATTTAAAAAATTACATTCGTGTTGTCACTCTCACACCAGAGTCGTTGTTCCTAATAGCACCACTGTTAGGCTTTTACTGCTCTTAATGCTTATAAAAATGACCAATTAAAGCCTTGGAACCTTACTAAGAGAGTAGAAAGTTACTATGAGTATTATGTCTACTGTCACGCGCAAATTCATACAGGGTCGTCGCCACCCTGATTGGTACCTCTGACTAGAACTACTGCTAATTCTGGCTAGTTCGAAACAGAACCAGGACTTTGACAGAGTTAGGCATACTCAGCATAACCCTAGTCTTATCCATATTATAGACATTCTCTGGCAGGATAGCTAGGTTTTAGAGCTCCTTTTCTATCACCTTAAACTAGTGTAAAACCTTGTGATAGATATTAAGCTAGTTCTAGTGTGAAGCTATGTGAAGCACTAGAGGCATGAGGAACTAGATTGAATTGATTGCTAGAGGAGTCCTTTGTAAGAGTCTATATATATGCGAAATAAGTGGGTGAGTCTTGGCAACATAGACTGTGGTGAGATACATCCGATCATGGTGACGACGCATCCGATCGTGGTGACGACGCATTCGACTATCGTGTGACTACTGCAAACATCTAGTCTTTAGGCTTCTCCTTTATTGCTACAAGCTCTAACTAGCGTCTTTTAAGTCTCTTAGCCTAGTTCACTCTAGGAGGCTTAGGTAATCTATCTGCTTGCAGCCTATAACGCGTAGTACTAAACGCTATTGCTAGTATATACTTTATGCGTACAAGTTTCCTGAGATAGTCTATTTGTAGTAAGAAGTGAACTACAGCGTTCTTTTTGCAAGGCGTGAGGTATACCTAGTTTCAGGCTTTGTCTTCTCTTAAGCGTTGTCTGAGGGCACAATGATTGAGGGTGGTACGAGGGACGTTGCTGTGTACAGCTCGGGCAGTGAGAGTGTCAGGTATGCCATGAGGGAGATCCTCGGCCAGTGCTTGACTGGCTCTATCCATGTTAGCTACAGTACTGAGGTAGTTAGTGGTGGAGAGCGAATGTAAGACGACTCATTCAGAGGCAGCGAGGGCTGGCGCAGCGACTCTAGCTGCACAGCTAGAGGCTCAACAATGGACTCTGGAACAAAGCTATTGTTAGCTCAACAGAGCAAACTAGACAAACTGGACAAAGACTCCAGGCGCTACGCCACAGTTAACCTTACAGCACTCAAGTTTAATGCTAACGGTAAATTACACTAACACGCATTGAGCGGCGCTACAATTACGCTACATCCTTTGGCCCTCCTGCACGATCGGCGAAACTCTCAGAATCCACCATTAATGGCTTGTATGGCTTCAAAACATAGGAATACATTATTATTTAATAGAACTATTAAGCTGGAGTTCTGGAATTTAAAAGCTTGACTATGTTGCGATGGAACGGGGGGATAAGCTGAGAGCGGAATCAGAAGCCATGACGAACTAATTGACGGCGACACCAACGCCACCATATTTCTGTCCACGCCCACTAGCATTAGGTGTGGAAATAGACGAAGGATATTAGGTACTGATACATAGAGCAACGCAGCCGTTGTTATGAGATGTATCCTGCCGCCTGGCCCTCAGCCTAGCGGTTTGGCGCCTCCTGCCCCGATTTATCAATACTTTCATTTTACAGGCGTTTGTGCCATATTGCCTGATTTTGTGCAGTCAAGGCCTGAGTTGCCAGTGGCTAGAACTCAAAGCTCACTTCCTTCCAAAATGCATGCCACGGAAGTCGCCACCATGCTGGTTCCCTACCTGGTATCCGCTGTTCTTGTTTCCGAATGTAATTGTTGTTGACTGAACTGTGTGCTGAGGTGAAGGCGGTTTCACAGATTCCGCTCTGCCCGCAGCCTCAATAGCATGGATCTCGGATAGCAGTCCTTTTGCACATGCGGCCGCTGTGCCTGCTGCGTAGTTCTGCCAAGCCTTGTTCTTGTGAGAGTCTGCGTAGTCACAGATGCCCCGCACAACCACACAGGGATACTCGAGCAGAACGTCTGCTGCTTCCATCTCAAAGCAGGCGGAATCATGTTCTTTTTGGATTCTGTTTCGCTCCGTGGCGGATATCTGTAGTTGATTGCTTGATGCGACGTTGCCGAAGTGAACAAACAGCTCATCGAGCAGTCAAGTAGCGCCGTCTCCTCGATATGAACGCGAGATAATGTAGTCCGCGTTACAGCATTCTCTGCAATCGTCAAACTCGGTGCCGTTATGCTCGTAGGAGTCCTCGAAGAGCCTGTCACGGATGGGACCTGGGTCGTCATATTGGTGTTGTCACTTCTCATCGAGCTTTAGACGCCTTTGCTTCAGGACTTCAGGGATGTTCGTATCAGACCAGCCTTCCGCGCGGAAATTGTTGACGGCAGCCATAAGATCGTCTGGAACGCCATTTGTGTGCCCGCGGTAGTTCAGGCGCCCCTCCCTTGACCTTCCCATGCGCCTCTATCGTATTGCAAGACCCCGCCGTGGTTGCCTCGCGGACAGCTAACAACCACGTCCCCAAGCACAATCTCGGACACCGCACCAGCCAGTCCGTAACGCGGTACACCGCCAGCAATACCGACCAAGAGAAAGGATTTGATGTTGGGAAATCCAGAGCGCATCTTCTCAGCAAGAATTGCAGCCCCTTCGAGAACTGTTCTTCTCTGCACTCTAATGACGACCTCGTGTTTCCCGATGCGACCACCTAGATAGAAAGCGTTCTAGTATTGAACTTCCTCTTGCGGATATTCCTCGTCCAACACCAGCCCTGCAGCCTCATGTTCAAGAGGGAGAGGGGAGATCCACCCTATAGTGAACCGATCGTTCTTAGTCATCGTGGTTAGTGATCACCTTTTGTATCAAATTGCAGAGTATGGGGGCAGCACAGAACTGTATATATACTGTATACGGGCAGTGAGCGGGCTGGATTAAGCAGCAGCGCTCCGCTAAGTTTCAGCCTTGTTCAGCCTCATCACCATCACCAAGTGGCTTCTCTATGCGAGGGTCATGTGTATTCTCTCCATGCCTTACTTCATCAAGTGCACAACACCTTTTTTACGTATATCTTATGCTAACTGTGAAGAAATCGCTACACATCACGGAGAGCGATCGCCTTTGAACTCAATGGCCCCAAGCCCAACGCCTCCACCAAAACCATAGAGCGAGCGTTGCAACAGTCATAGGAATAGAGAAGGCCCAGTATATCCAGAAATGTCGGGATACATTAAACGAAGCTTTGGAGGTGAGTTCTCCAGGCTGAAATGAAAAAAAGTTCATTCCGAAGAGCGTCTGTTCACCCGAATCGGTTAGCCAAATGTACATGCTCAATGAGGTTGGCAGACCTACAGAAACAAAGGTAGCTGGCAAGAAAGTCATTGTGACGACAGCGATCGCCTTCATTGCTGAAGCCTCCCTCTTCGCTTCTTCTCCTATCTGCACTTGGATCTTGCTATCTCTCTGAGCTGCCGCATTGAAGGCCTGTTGTTGTGAGCTTAACAATCCACTACAAATCTTCCATCATAGGCTTACAAGAGTGATCTCGTTCTGAATTCGGGCATTATTTGCCTCAGAGCGTTGGAGCAGGCCCTTTAGAAATCGGAGCTGAAACTCGAACCGACTCCCGACTTTGTCCCAGCGCCTGCGTCCATTGTTGCCGTGGATGAGGTCTGTGTTTGCACGAAATGTTTCATGATGTTGCCGTATAGCATCTAGCGACAGTATAGCCACATTCAAAGTCTCGCTGATATGCACACCATGCCTTGCAATTTCGTGTAAAAGGAAGTAGTCAGTCTCTTGCGACCTTCGCTGTGGCGAATGAGTTCTACTGCCGTCCATAAGTAATGCGAAAAGTAAGGCTTACAGCTTCCCACTGGCTGATGTGGTTTCTGATAGACCACACCGAATCATCGTACAATCGTAGTAGCGCATCCGTAATGAGCGAAAATACAGTGTAGGGACAAGAGAGGTCGATACTTTGCGAACCAAACATTGACTGGATGACAGAGTGCGATTTTGAAGGTAAATCGAAGCACATGAGCGTAGTCAATCCAGACTTATTCCAATAAGTAAAGAATCCCATCTCGTACCACTCCCAACCATACCGTGTACTCTGTGGCCCATGTATTGCAATATCAGCGTTCAAGTTGTTAGGGCTAGAGTGATTGCTTGATACATGTGGTGTGAACGTCCGTTTTGGCTTGAGTTTGTCGTACGTCTGCTTGACGGTGAAGCGAGACCAGGAGGCTAGATCCTGATAAGCAACACCTCGAAGGTCCTTGAGACTGTATTCAAGCTTACTGTAAGACTCCACTCCCTCGTTCTGATCGAGGCAGACGTCATTTCCAAAAAAGCCGTTAGATTGGAGATGCATCTTGTCAAAAAAGAAGCCGGGAACGTTTAGTTTGCTTCTAAGGCCATCCTGAAGTTCTGGCGCAGCGTTGAGGAACGACTTGGTAGACCCGAATCTAGTTCGTGTTAAATCGCAAACGGAACTGCTTCGTGAGCGACCTACATAATTTGAAGTTGGACGGAATGGAGCTCCTGCAGCCTTGTAAGTTTTGTGCCCTGACACTTGTGACATGCTTCTAGAACCTGAAACACTTCATTCCATGTCTTTTCTTGGAGTTGGCAAGAATGGGTCACTGTGACATCTGATAGATCAGTACAATATCTTGATTAGCAACATAGAACTCTTACCTAACCGAACAACCTTACCGTTCTCCATCTACACAGGCGATGAGAATTGACGAGGTAGAGGGGGGTGAGCGGGCTGACAATGAGGCTCATCTGATGCTTGGCGGTGGTACGGCGGCCTCCCGCCTTCAGCCTCGCGCCTGATCTAGGTAATCCCTCGAGATCGCCAGGCTGAGAGTCAGATGGCTTTCAGGTCAAGGACCAGCTAGCAGAAACCATCGCTGATGGATACTCCGCTGCAACAGCATCATCCACGGCTCGGTCAATACCACATTCCAACTTCCACCCGGTACCCCTCATTTGTCTGGGCACGGAGGGTATCTGGGCAAGCAGGGAGGAACTTTTGATGGGTTTTGTATAGAATTCGGCCGTGGATGCGGTCTGTGTCTTCTATTAGGACTAGAAGAGTCTTAGTCTTTCAATCGATGCCCGTGGTTTGGTCTTGCACTTAACTTTACAGAAGTATCCAAGCCAGAGACCACACAATGCTACACACCTCCTTTGGATCAATCCGACAGGTAGTCATACTGCTTTAATCTGAACGAATCTGTTTCTACCTCTTATTCTACTACCCTACGTATCCTTATTATTCTACCAAAGCAGCCAAGGAGATATGACATTTCAGTCTACCTTTATGACCCACTTCCCGTTTTCTTCATAACTTCTAGAGCCATCTTTGCTACCCTCCGCGTCTCTTCCCGAACCTCTTCATCAATCATTATATGGCCAAATCTCTCCCTCCAGAAAGCCCATCTCCTTGTGTTGAACGCAAGCACAGACTCCTCTTTATTCCGAATTCTCGCCTCCAAATACTTCTCTTTACTCCACAGCTTCTCTTTCTCCGCCCGGACACGATTCCAAATGTGGTCATGAAGGATTAGGAGCCACACAGCTGCCGCAGGAACAAACACATCTAGCTTATACTTCTCATTCCTTTTATACCTCGGTTCGAGCGCATCACGTAGCGCCCAGATCGCCCACCACCACCAGTCCCCAATGCCGTCTCGTGTAATCCTTGCTGCGAAAGCATTTACATTCGCCCAAGCTCTGGCTTCGGGGTCCTGGAATTCTGCGCCACAGCCCGGGCCGTCATCCCATGCCTCTCTTGCGCTGGGGCCGAGCATCAGTAGTGTACTCCAGAGCCCATCGGAGGTTAACACCCAATTGGGGTGGACATCTGGAGTGAGTTGGAGGCGCTTGAAGGGTGCCTCAGGATCCGATCGTGATTTCAGCGCTTTCATCAGATCGAGAAGCTTTTCTTGTGCGGGCCCGTCGGTCCATGGGATGCGTTTGGCGGAGTGAAGGATAGAGTAATAGAGATCCCATAGATACATCTCAGCCGACCGACTGGGCTCCTCGTATGCTTTCCCTTGATTGACATGACCGACAACTTTCCTTCCATAATCTCCCGTCGTGTATGCTTCCTCGATTGGCGGCGCAATCTGGTTGATGGCCCCTTGGGCGTCTATTTTACTGGAGAGATAACTTTGGATCGCAGCGTAGGAATGGCTGCCTTCCTCTGGTGCAAAATATCGACGGAGTTTGGCAAACGCGTCGATTTGCTCCGGTAGCGATGGCACTGTTGTCATGATTCTCTGGACTTCGACGGCATCTTTGGGAGATGTCTCCGGTGCGATGAATGTTGGTTGAGGGGCTGTCATGGAAGACGAGAGGGGCGTATTTTGGGATGTGAAGGCCAGTGATCTGTGTGACATTTTGGAGTGCTAATTAAGTGAGCTTTGGAACCTAGACTGTTTATGAACGGAAGCTCCTTGGCCTGTACTTTATATGAGTGGGGCATATGACCGCCCTTTCAGATCGCCCTTTTAACAACGCGCGAACGTGGTGTGGCTGTGTAATGTTGATCAATCCTTCGCACAGCTTCGCCTGAGGGTATGTGGACGTCGAACTTCACTCCCATGAGAGAAGCATTATATGGAAGATTCCTTGCTTTGTTGTTCTTGGGCATGCTCTGTCGGAGAAAATGAATATATAGCATCTATCTGGCCATTAGTTTCTATCCAAATATACTTGCAAATCTTTCTTCACTTTCAACAAAAAAGTAAAAACCAAGGTATATGCATTTGGCTACTTTTGAAACCCAAAGATTAAGCTTGTTCTTTTTTTATTCCGAAAAAAGGCGTAACCCGGAATTGAAGCAGCGTGTAATTGCACGGAGTAAATATGCTCGTAGTCGTCCTATTATCGCTAGTTGTTTTGAGGATGACCGAAGTCTAAGAATTCACATAGAGAAATAAAGGTGGTGTTGGTTGGATATTGATGCCTTGCAGTTAGGAGGGAAAAGAGGTAAATAATAGAGTGCGCCTCCGCACTTTTCCCCATGATAGTGGAATGCACGCTATGTTGATTGATCGCTTCCTTTTATCAGTCTTTAGAAGCATCCTTTCGGCTACTCATGCTTTGCGAGCAAACACCACGTAAGATTATTCTGCCCTACGGATCCGTACGTAAGCAGTGTATAAATGTTGGTGTATAATTAAGCGCGCAGGAGAAGCTAGAATAGCCGAACTTTCGAATTATTTACTCCTCTCTAGCAAAGAACATGTAGTACACCTTATGCTCTAGTCATATAACGTAGAGACCGAAAGTATGCAACCCTGAAGACATTAAACCTATTCAAGGGGTGTAACGTTAGATTCAATTGTTGGTCTATTAACATGACATAACACTACTCGCTCCACGGCAACTTTACCGAATTTCACCGTCTGCAAAACTAAGCCGTGAACGTCTGCACTGAGGGCTGATTCTAAGCTACATCTGCTCTATTTATCACGACCCATCCCCTCCTACGTAGTAGGCCACTAGTTTCTCTTCCGCTTTAACATACCCTGGGTCCAAGAGTACTTGTTGTGGGAGAGATACCGCTCTCGCTCACTGATGGGTCTCCAAGCCTTCCCATCGCTTGCCTGTACATACTCAGCATGGGCTTTCTTTGTTGCCTCGCATTCCTCATCTCTATATCCGGCGACCCCAATCCCGTGTGACAGATATCTCCCCCATATGTAGCGACGTTCCGGGTTGAAAAATCCGCACTTTGAGCACATTCAGTCGCCCACATAGGAGCGCCATTCAAGCTCAGCAATCCCATCGTCATCTTGCACTTCCTTCGAGCTTGTCTCTTTTTCAGCAAGGCAGGTGCCATTCTTTCCGCGGCACCGCTGGTAGTATTGCCAGTTCCATCAACTGTGATTCCTACATCTCCACACTCCAATCTTGTGCAGATATACACTTTCCTCTTTCGCTTAGGCTCTCTCCCTTCTGCCTTCTAATCCTCGTCTCTCTTCTTCTTGAATTCCGACCCAAAACCAGGCCCTGATATGCGGATGGGATGGTCTGCGAAATCTGCTAGGCCCCATAAACCCATTATAGCCCTTTTCTTCTTTGGTTTTGGGCTGTGGATCGCCTGTGACCAAGATGAGGCTGTTCGGCTTTTGGAGCGCTTACCGATAGTTCCTCGGATGCTGCTCACATTGGAGATGGAGCTGGTTGCCTAAGTTTCTAATAAAGAATCCTGCAGCGTTGAGGGTACTGAGGGGGGGAGTGTATTGCACTAGGATTTGCCGGTCTTCTTGGTTGCCGGACTTTGAGCTGGATGAACAAAATTTCCTAGCGGAGAATGCGAAGCCTCTATAGAAGTCAGAGGAGTCGGTGTGATGACGGGAGGATTGGTTGGAAGTTCGACGGTGGTGGCAGGCAGGGCTACAAAGAAATTGAGCAGATGTTCTGTAATCCCAATGACTGGAATCTGATTCAACTTACTCTTCTTCCCAACATCCTCCCCGCCCTCTCTAGGGGTAAGCGTCCTAACACCGTTTTCATAAAGTCCGTTTTCAGCCGGTTGTTTTTTTCTAATGGTGAGGATAACTCGGAAACTGTATAGGTCTTGCTCAGAGCACAGGGCGAGGTCGTCGCCGAGCTAGCAGTTGTCGGGGTCGTCTGCTTCGCCCGCCATCGTCGAATAAGTGTGCAGTCATAAGGCGTTGAGAGCGAATTGGATGAAGAAGAAAATTCCAAAGCAATAGTCAGTGTCCTTGTTTCATGTGCGTCGGCGCGGCACACGTGAAGTCCAGCCGAGAAGGGACTGGGCGGTCCGACCGCAGGCAGTGATAACGTCATGGAGATGGTGAAGGTGAAAGATCGGCACTGTGAGACAGTATAGCCTGGAAGGCTTCGGTATGCCTAGACCAGTCGACCGGCGACCTACCTGCAAACCTGGTTGGATATCCACTGCGCCTCTGCAGGCTTCCCTTCTGGGAGGCAACTAACTTTAGATAGACATAATTTCAACAAGCCCGTAATAGAAAGAGTATCTGAAATACTGTCTCTGCTGCGTATATGTCCATATCTAAACTTGCTACGATCCCTATGTTAGTCGTCTGTCTGCATATACATAAAATGCATGCCAACCTCGCGATGCCACGAAGACGTCTAGGTGCAAGGCCAGAGCGAAGTGAGTGCTCCTTGAAGCTTGCGAACATTCACCATGCTTTCAAAAGGAGTGATATAACAACTTGAATTTATACATTACTATTTTAATGTCTAACTCCACCTCTCTCATGCCCCCTCCTCGCTATTCCATTTGGTAGCCCTCTCCTGGAGGGTAACGCAGGGTATCCGTTAAGCACAGGTGCCGCCGGCCCCAAGGGTTCCTTCTCATTCAACCTATTCCACAGCTCTACTATACCTGCGCGTCTCGCGGGCAACATGCTATATTGGAGACTGTACAGATTCCGACGATGAATTGGAGGGACAAATTGGCCGGAGACAAGATAGAGGAAGACGCCGGGAGAAAGATAGTGTTTCCGGAGTCTGTTTCCGAGCTCGAAGTACGATTGGAACATTGAGCGTAAAGGAAGTGGTATCGATTTGAGGTGAATGTAGGATGTTGGTGCCGAATCTGGAGGTCCCTCAAGAGGGTACGAAGGTAGTTGGGTATCTTGAAGTTCAAAGCATATACCACCGGGTAGACGCCTCGAATCCTTAATCCGTAGCATAGCTGCGAACAGTGGGAAATGATTTAAACAAGCTAGACCAATCTCTAGCACAGCCTTTAGGCCAATGACGGCTACACGTGCGCTTGCAAAGGTGAGGTAGAATACGAAGACAGTTGGCAGGAGGAAGAACAGCAGGGTGAACAATATTGTACCCAATAAGAGTTGATCCAGATCGTAGTCGCAAGAATCGATTCGGTTTCGCAGAACATTCCGTTTCTTGCCGCGGAAGAGGTGGAAGAGGGAGATAATGATAGTGAGCTGCCAATGGAAAATTCGGGCCGATGCAATGTAGAATGAGTAGATGTGGAGTGTGAGTAGGGATACAAGGTCGGAGAAAAGAGAGATCGGCATCGTAGCGCCAGCGAAGGAGGAGAATCCAATAAAATGTATGATGCCAGGGAGGTGGGGCCGAAGAAGGGTCATGCAACCTTCTCATATTAGCTTACAAGAAACAAGTCATGTCAACGACGAGCACCAACCGGACCAATGGTCAATAACCCAGAGGAACAAGTCTCCGAGAAACTCTGCTAGTTCGGTGTTGAGCTTCAACCCTCCTGGCCATTTCATAAGCCATGAGATCATTCGACGCAAGCCCTCGATGGACCAAGTGGTGAAAATGGTGTCAACTTGAGACGCCACAAAGACACAATTCTCGATGATGTAGGATCCCAAAGCAATACCAATAATGACGTCGTTTGCCACAAGCCAGAGGCTGTTGTAGAAACGGATGTACTCCGGATGATTGCTTGTTACACTCTCCCAATTCGCCTTTCTCTTGCGCAAAGTCAGGTATTGAATAGGCCAGTAGCAGAACTGTTGTAGTCGGATATCGACTTGTTGGGCCGTGGCGGAGATGTCCTTCAAGGCAGGGGAGTCTGGTGATCCCGGCCTCCAGTCTAGGACCTGGAGGATCATCTCTCCAGCTATTCTATGTGCGATTAAGCCAATAATGAACAGCCTTGCAACAACAGGGTAGATCCAGACTCTGGAGATATAGGAGATGCCGAGGTGGGCGTAATCCCAAAGATCGTTGGCCGATTCGACCACTCGTTCGCTCACACTGAGGGCGCGCTTCATCCGTCTCCCAATCAGCCCAGCATTCTTCTGCAGCAAGACGTTGAGCTCGAATGAGCAGTTAATTTGGTCAATGATAATGGGGAGTGAGAGTTCTTTCTGCGTGCGCGGATGCGATATCACAGTGTGTAGCTTCAATTTTTCAATCAACATGTCCTTTTTCTTCCGCTCCATCTCCTCGGCCTCGTCCTCGGCTGATTTCTTGTTGCGAACTTTCTCTTCACTGTTTTCGGTATTCCTATTCTTCAAATCTTTCTCTCCATCTTTGTCACTGCCTTTTCTCTTAGGATCTTTCTCCTTCTCTTCCTCGATCCATGGTAAAGCCTGCTCTAGTTGTTCCTTATCGGTCTTGTCGCCTAAGGCCAAGGGTATTGGGGTGAGGGAGAGATACTGCATGCGCGTCGGATGCGGCCTGTCGTAGATAATCACTTGCACCATGAGGTGAGTATCGGGCGGACAATACAAACGGGGGAAGCGGGAGGGTGTATCAGTGTAGGTAGTCAGAAGGAATGGGTCGAAATGCTCGGGTATAGTCTGCGGGTTGACTAGACCTAGCACTCGCATAGAAGGATGGCCGCAACGTTTCAACAGGTCCTGGATGGGGTGGGGGCTATGTCGGAGCAGTGTACCGACTAGCAAGGCATTTTCCACATGCCGCAGCTGGTCTTGATTAGCACAGTCTTGACCCAAAGTCTGCGCGCTCGTACATCGACATCCTGCAGTATCGACACAACAAAGACGTCAAGCTCCGAATTTCTGAACCCTACAAGGACCCCAGGCGACAGTCCGGCTGGCGCGTCCGACGGCCAGAATATGCGCATCAACCCATTTTGTGTGACCATGTCAACATAATGCTCGCTCGCTAGAACGACCCACGACGTTTGAGCTGCTCTCGAGCAGATATACCCCCACCTGCGGTCCGCGGGTGCTGTAGGAAAGAAGTCAGCGCTGAGTTGTTTCTCCTTGCTGCGAATCCACTAACCAGATCCGTCTCACGGGCGGCAATTCGTTCGATGGGGAGAATGAAGAGGAAGAAGAAGATAGAGAGTATCGTGAATCCCTTTGCAGCTCGTGTCTAAGCAAAGTGTTGGATTAGCACATGGGCGGTTGCGGAATGGTGCTGCTACTGGTACGTACAACGACTCCGTGGTCCCACGCAAATATTGCTAGCTCATACAGGCGCGTAACGAGGTCCCAGCGGGCAGTCGAGTAGCCTGCGATGAAGATTCCGAGCGTGACAATGGAAAAGGCGTGCATGAATTATTGTAGCAACGTCGTCATGCCAAGCCAGCAGAATACGAGGCGTCCGAGTTGTTTAAGCCCTCTTCCGCGGTGACGATTCGCGGGTAGAGTGCCAGGACGTGGAATGAAGAGGCTCTGGAGGGGCGATATAATGGGTGCTGAACGTAAATACGTCAAGATCAGCTCGGCGCATGATGCACCATTGTGTAAACTGCGTAAAATGGAAATGGTAGTGAATGACATCGCGAGGTGGAAGGTCGTCGGCAGAATCTCGGTTAAGCATCCGGCCGTCCAACACGTGGAATCTAGCTCGATTTGGCCTTAGTGTGGTCTTCTTTCGACATCGATAACCTATATCAAAGTGTCCTCACACTGTATACTTGTCCTCATACGTTCAAACGACCAATGAGCCCATATTCCCCGCTACATATTTTTTTTTCTGCAATGAATCACTTTCTTCCTAAAACCCTTCGCGAAACCTCACCTTCACTAGCCAATCAAATTGTGCCATCGTATGTCAGTGAATAATGGGACGCGCGAGACGGACTTGGCCCATCGAGAAAGGCAGCGGTGATATGGCAAAAACTTCGAGGTATCTGAAAACAGGCAATCAGTAATACCCTCACGATGTCTCTCTTTGAGTGGTTACTTGTTGGTCCAGTACCTGATTGGGTTAAGCGCCATTTCATTCTCGCTTGTGCCTGAGCCTACCCAGCCATCTTCCGCAAACACCTGCGAAGCCCTTTTTCTTTCATTATCCGCCGCGACGATGAATAACCCGTTCACAACCATGAAACACTTATAATAACGTTTAGACTTCCTATTACTTTGCCCCAGCCGTTCACCAGGTTCGCCTTGGGACCGTTTGCGCCTTCTCCGCTCGGCATTTCCGCCGCCACCCAACATGGTTGTTTGCCGCTTCTATCAGCAAGGAAATTGCAGATACGGAGGTAAGTTTTAACGAGTCCGATGACTGTATTGACTTACTGACTCCTTTAAGATCGATGTCGTGATGAACATCCAGGTAGTACGCGGGACAACAATCGCGCGCAGAGTTCGAATACGAACCGCTTTGGCGTCTTTGCTGGGGGTGACCGCTATCGTCCAGCGCAGGCAGGTGCATTTGGAGGTATGTGAATTACCATAGGTATCCTGGTAGCTCCTTCCTTAAGCCTTCTGCATGCTACCTTTACCCTAAGGGTTCTATGTTCTCCTAACTCTCTTCACAGCTGGACGCGATCAGAGGCCCAACCCGGCAAGCAATTACCACATCAACAAAGACGATCTTAAAGCAGATCTCACAGATCAACGCCCAGTGTATCCTCTATCCGCGTATGGCCCAGGCCGAGATGCACCTCGTCAGCTGATCGAGGGACCATTCGAGATTAGCCCAGAGGAGCTACGGTTGCGATTCTACACGCAACGAGCCGCAGGAAATGTAGCTGTAGCAGTATGTAACTCCTTGTGTTCGAGAAACCCCAGCTTACATTATCTACAGCAACGAGAAGAGCAAGAACTCGCCGCCGGAATGGAGAAGCAGGTACAAGGTATTCTCAAGGATCTGGACGGTGCAATTAAGTACGTCGTAGACGGCGCAAATATACCAGGTAACAGACTTGATATAGCCAAAGGCACTGCAAAGGTTGGTAGTACATCCTCTGGACCCTCGTCATCAAGCCCGTTTTCTCAAATGCCTTCAAATCCCCTCGGTGGCGCATTCCAAACTCAAACTTCTGCATCTGGGAAGCCTGTTGCTCCAGCGTTTGGTCAGGCTGGCTTGAGTCCATTTGGAAGGCCTATAGGTCAGACCACAGCATTCGGTCAGCCTTCAAATCCAGGCCAGGTACCATCTCCGTTCGGCCAGACGTCAGCTCTGGGAAGTACAGGAGCATTTGGTAAACCATCCATGCCTGGAGCGAGCGCTTTTGGACAACCATCCGGTTTAGGCCAAGCTACTGGATTTGGGCAACCCTCAGCGTTGGGTCAAGGCTCAGCATTCGGGAAGCCGTCGATGCCGGGAGCTATATCAGCATTTGGGCAGGCGGGAGGTTTAGGGCAGCAGTCAGCATTCGGGCAGCCTTCCGCACCAGGGGCAGCATCAGCCTTTGGCAAACCCTCACTCCCTGGGGCAGGCTCTGCACTCGGTCAGACGAATGCATTGGCACAGAACTCCGCATTCGGCAAACCAGGTTTTGGCCAACCATCTCAACCTGTCGCTGCACCTTCACCATTTAGCCAACAGCAACAGCAACAGCAACAGCAACAGCAACAGGCACCGCAACCTTCTCCATTTAGTCAACAACAGCAGCAAGTGAACAAACCCTCTCCCTTTGGCCAACAAACGCAAACAACCCAACCTTCTGCATTCACTCAACAGCAGCAAGCCACGTCACAAGCAAGTCCCTTCGTTACCCCCGGATCCCAACAAGCTCCCCCATTTGGTCAATCCGGCTTCGGCAAGCCTTCTCCGTCCCCCTTCGGCCAACCTCAGCAACAGTCGTCTCAACAGAACCCCTCGCCCTTCACCCAAGCAGCCCAAAATCTAGCTGCACCTTCTCCATTCGGCCAACCACAATCATCGCAACCACCGCAACAAAATGCATCGCCCTTCGCTCAACAGGCTGTCCCAGCCCCTAGCTCGGCCATACCTGTAGGAGAGAAAGATCAGTTCAAGGAGGGAAGACCGGAGGAGTATGTGGGTGAGGCCGGAAGGATCCTGGAGGAGATTTACCGGCGAGTAGCTCAGACTGGAAGATTCAGGGATGATGAGCCGATTCCACTAGTGCCACCGAAGTGTGAGTGGATCATGCCAGTTGATGCGCTCTAAATATGGTGACTTTCGGGTTTATGGCATGGCGTAGCGTGGAATTGAATGTTGTAATATAGTTCTCAGAAATGTGGGCTTGAAGTTGAATATACGGTATCTAAACAGTCCTAAAGCATGAGATCGATTCTTCGGAGATGAGAGGTCTCTATGAAGGAATCGAATACAACGTTAAAGTTTGAATGGCAAAGTCCTCCCTAATCAATCTCTTAAAATTCTTCCTTTCACGTGTAACAATGAGTGACTGGGGTCCCAGTGTTTCTTTGCAACACAGCCTGTGGTAGAGGAAAATAATAAAACCAGATATCAGCTTCCAAAAAATTCTAAATTGAAAGTCCCTCACAATGACTGGAATCATACATCCCCTCAAAATATTTTTCCTTCGAAGCCGTTCTCTTCATACCTCTTTATTCCTCAAGGCCTACAACAATCCGTACCTCGTTCGCCAGTTGGCACAATTCGGGCAGCACTTTCTCCACCGTGTGATGCTCTGGTATATTATATGATTCATATTGAAGTTCTTGGGCACCTCCAATATGGTGAAGGCCACGCAACGTAACATTTTCCAGCACAAGCGTTTTAACACTGAAATTAAGCGGGATTCCTACAAGTTCGGTTTTACGCTGTATCGGTAGCCTACGTAACGTAAGTATGCGGGGAGGTCTGGATAAGTGCAATCGGCACAGCACCACCAGCAGTGCGTTTTCGCTAACTGGAAGTTGGCGTCCTTGTCCTGTGCTTATGCAGACATGCTCAAGGCTTGGAGCGTTTAGGCCAGGGAAGGCGTTGATGTTGTCATTTAGGGAAGCAAGTTTCATGAGTACGCCTGGACGCCTTTGGCGAGGGATGTACAAGTCAAGATGTGTGAGGTTGGGACAAGTAAGCTGGAGAGGTTCGAAATATCGGCCGTAATAGTCAAATGGAGAGAAGGCGATGTAGTCGAGGGGAAATGTGAGACTTTGGAGGGATGCAAACGTTCTGCTGATTAAGGAAGTGGGAAGTGGATGAATGTCGCCGAGACGAAGAGTCGGCATGCTGTTAGGCTCGGTGACGATTGTCAGACTTTCAAGGTGGGTGTCAAGCTGTGCCGCCATAAGTGCAAATCGGATATCCTGACATCTCATTAGAACATATGCCAATTAGGTTAGACAATTAGATTAGGACACGTACCTCTTCGCGATAACAGATAATATAATCACTTGCAAGATAGTCTTCCCCAAATTCCCGATGGTCGTTTATGCATTTCCTTAGCCACTCCTCTTTGCCAAATATTCCGGGAACATATTTCAAGTGTCTCAATAGCGGCAAGTGCCGGAATACTTCCACCAAAATATTCTTGAGATCGGGCATTCTCCCCTGATTATGGGTCTTTTCGGACCAATCCGACAAAGCGCTGAAAGTCGTATACCTGTGCTCTTCTAAGAACTTCGCAATCTCTAGATCTTGCTGTTTCAAACAGCCAGACTTATACAGGGGAGGTCGATCGCGGGATGTCGTTCCCCTTTCCCGATCATGATCCCAGTCAGGCCAGTGGTTTCGCGTAAACTCGGTCCACGTTGGCATTTTCGCCGCTGCAAGAGTCAAGCAGCTGATTTGAGGACTAACCTCAGCAATTGAGATGAGGTTTTGCAAGCGAGCCATACTCTCCGGGGAGAGGAAATATGGAGTGTCTGAAATAACTTTTGAGAATGCTTTCTCGGACGCTTTACGGAAGCCACGACATGCTAGGCGTGTGTTGAAGATGTGATGTTTCTCTGAAGAAGAGAATGAAGGTATTGCGTTGATGTCTCTCTGGTGTTCTGGTGGCAGTAGATAGCCAATGACGAGCTCCAGGAGCTCGACGGGGAGTCTGTCCATTGTGCCTGGAGAGGATCAAGGAAGCTCAAGCTTTAATTCAGTTTCTTGTTAGCCTAGAGCGATGCTAAAGGAGTTTGTGTGACAGTATGTTGTCCCTTCTGACTGTGTCACAGACGCGAACCAATTAGCTAATAGTAAAGTCATATTCACGCTATGCTAGACTGGGATCCCTGAAAGTCCACCACTAATTCGAGTTGATTCATAACTTCATTGACTACATTATGCTAATTACCAGGTCCCGTAAAATTTCCAATAAATACAACCAAAATCGCACAATATGCTGCACTTGCAGCGAACAGCTCATGTCTCGCGGCTTTGGTGAGGAGGCTCATAGCCGCGGAGAACAGCAGCGTGAAGACTATTAAAACGCCCACCGCATTAAATGTATCCCGTGTATTGGAATCAGCTGAGCTCAAATCACTCGAGGTTAAGTTGGAGCTTCCGCCAACGTGGGATGAAGTACTTGTGAGATGATACATCGTCACAACTGGTATGACAAGAAGAATGAAAATGACGAAGGTAATCAAGATGTTGATCAGCTTGTCGATGCGAGACGAGCTATAGAAGCTGATGTATTGGTTTGTGGTCTTGGCTCTCAGTTCAGGGGTGCGGAAAAACCTCTGAGAATACATTGTCAGCTGAGCCATTCACGGAGCAGCAGATCTACAACTTACCTGGAGGGGAGGTTCCTTAGTTCGGAACACCCATTGTAGACCATTGTCAATCTTGCCAATCACGTTCTCGACACTACCGTCAAATTTTGCCCATTCGCGGCCATTGGCGAGAGAGACGATGTCTTCTTTGCTACGGATGGAGTCCATCTCAGCATCCATAAGAGGTTTGTCGTTGTGGTGGTAGCGACGAACACTTCTGTAGTTGCGATCGGATGGCTTCTGAAAGGCTTCGAGAGACCTCGCTTTGATTAGAACATCATCTAAGCATTGATCAGTCTAAGAATAATAGCACAAGGTTCGCTAAATGTGCCTACCATATTCCATGAGTTTGTTCTTGATCTCCCGCAAGATTACTCTGCGATTTCTCGCATCACCTTCACCAGCGGCTTTCGTTACATCAATTTCACGAGACCGAAGGCGATCTGGCTCTTCATCGAAGTCGTCCCAGTCGACTTCATCAAGTTCCTTCTCAAGAGTCGTGATTTCATCTTGTAGATCTAACAGGACTCGAGAATGGAGATAGCTGAAAGAACGGTAAAGAGAGAAGTTTGCTTCGCTGGACTGGAAAGCAGCAAGACGAGGAAATCCATTAGGGGTATTTTCCACTGATACGAGTGAGCTTCATTATTGTGTTAGTTGCTATTTCGCTTACACTTTCGGGTGTTAGTTTCAGTAATATCGAGCGGCTCCGGCTCGCATTTGAACGAGCCTGTTATTCGTCGCAATAGTGTTGGACGTTTCTCATCTAAAAAGCCTTAATTGCAAGTCCCACAAGTTGACAACATCTAGTCCTTGGGGGCCAGATTGTAGGGTCCACCTACGAGACTGTGCACCGTCACCGTTCACCGACGAGCGCGAGTCTGACGAGGGGCGAGTAGTTGAATTTCCATCCTCCTCAATCTCAATGATGGCATCTCCTCTCAGCGTATCGCTTGAATCCTCAGTATTCGTTGGAGATGTTGGTGAATGAGGTCTTTTCTCAGAAACAATCGTATCGCCGGTCATCGACCGGGTGGGGGCCATTCGAAGGGCTGAAAGCTGCGGCCTGCGCACGCAACAAACACAACAGACTGAAAGACGAAACTTTTAGGCAACAGTAGAACGAGAAAAGATCACATTGACATTGTAAATCAACAGTGGCTCATGATAAAACCTCTAGGTGTGGCGGGTGTGCCGTCTAAGTAGCAAGGAAAATGAGGAGTGAAATGATCTGACCGCCCTGTCCCAGCCGCCTGGACGCCACATTCCAATCAAATTGTGGCTGCCTAACATTTGATGTGCCACATGAATTTAGCACAGCCACAGGTAAGCGTTACATTCAGCGCCCTTCAACCACGCTTCTCCATCTTAAGGTCCTTTTCCCGAATCCAGGCCCCGTTCTTGTACGGCCGGCCATCGCCGTCCTCGAGTTGATACTCCCAGTACGACTTTGATTTGTTGAGGCGGCCTTTGGCAACCTTAAAGGTGCCCTTCGTGCGAACCCCTGATTGGATCATGCTCATATGCACCGTGTCCCTCTTCTCAAATCTCCCTGACTGCTACACCGTGAGTTAGACCAAGGTATTTGAATGACGAAAAAGGAGTGCGTACATCAAGAGCATTTGGGTCAATTCTAACCCCAGACTTATGCTCAGGAATCGCGTCGTCCGCAGGAAATGTATCGTCTGATGGATTATCTAGCAACTCCTCGGTCTGTGAACCTATTCGTCAGCCTCATGTGGCGAAGCTTACGGGTCACTAACTCACAGCAGAGTCTACGACGGGCTGGCCTTCGAGCTCGTTTGTCGCCATCGTATTGAAGTCAGTGTAAAGGTAGGGCGGACGGTGTGGATGCGATTTGATAGCCTCGTGTGAAGTGTCGAGAAATGAAGAGAAGGCTGCAGTTCTCATATACCGAGCCACTTGTTGCAGGCCTCTCTCTCAGCCTTAATAGATGTTGCCTTGAGAATGAACTGTGACACTGTTCAAGGTGGCTGATTACGGTCTCATTGCACAGCCGGCTCATTAGAAATTATCGTCGAGCGGCAGTGGCCGCGTTCCCGCCCCCAACTTCATGCCACCCTCATCGATCCGCGACCGACCTGCCATCTGATCAGTTTTGGCTCCAATTCTTGTGGCGGAAAGCCACCAATAAAGAATAGGAAGAGGGATGGGCAAATCTGACAGCAGTTTGAGTGACTTTGGCCCCCAAACCAGGGTTTACTAAGCAGTTGGCCAGCGGGTACTTCTCCTTGGGGCATTAACCCCTCCCTGAACTCCTTCACAACCCTGGCCCATGGCGCTACCCGTCCCACCAAATATGGGGGCTGAAGTGAACACAACCCGTTCAAATGGCAGCTCCTGCGAACACCTTCTCAACCTTAAGGCCTGGAGCCCCCTTGACCAATGACTCTTTGGAATATTCCATCCTCGCAAATCATCGACACCATGGAGACTGAGGTCTCCCCGAGATCACTGAACCCCTTGAGGAACAAGATCCTCCACGCGGATATTCGATTCGGGTCTATTGAGGATGGTGGAAGATACGAAGGAGAGGCTTCTCAGAACTCATGCTTGTCGCAAGACAGCACTCCCCCTGAAGATGCCGCCGCCCAGGAACGCGCAGCTGAGATGCAGATGTGGTGGGATGAGGCGATTGCAAAAAATATGAACCTGCCTGACGGATATCAGAAGGTTGCGGTCTTACTCATAAAGTGGGCAGATCAATTGGACGAACTAAAGACAAGAGACGAGGTAAGCATTTCGGAGCTCATGTATAAATGCCTCGTACTAATATCGATCCTTAGGCGCTCGAACTTGATGCAGTTTTCCGCAAAGAATTCCACTTCCATACCGAAATTGTCGAGTTAAATGTGTCCAGCAAGCCTCAGCACCAAATGAACCGCCATCTTAGCGCCTTCGTCGAGAAGCACGATGGACCGAACAATTTGTTGATCGTATATTATACTGGACATGGTGTATATCGAGAAGACGGAAAGTTCCTGGAGCTTACTGGTAGTATTAATCCAACTGTGAAGAAAGGTTTCAATAACGATGCTCGCGCAAACTGGGACAAAGCTGAGGAGGCCCTTCGCTCCGAGTATGTCGAGGGCGATGTTTTGACAATTCTGGACACTTGCTACTCAAGCAATCTGCAGAAGTCAGGAAAGGAAGACACCAGGACCTTTGAGCTATTGAGCGCATGTGCTTTCGACAGCACAACAGCATCGCCAGGCGAGAATTCTTTCACGAGAGCACTGATTGATGCGTTGAAGGAACTTCTGCAAGAGTTTGAAGACCGGTCCTTCACCACCTTCCACCTCAACCAGCGGATTCTCCTGAACCCAAATCGACGTGACACACCATCTCAGCTTTGGTTCCGGCTCAAACACCACGAGCGCCACATTCGTCTGGCACCACTGAAGCCGGAGAAGGAGCGCGCACGCAAACCTTCACTTCGTCACCCACCCAAAGGCTATCTGACACTTCGCTTTGCCCTCCGTGATGAGTCTCTCAACCGCGAGCAGATAGAGTACTTGACAAGAAACTTGTCCAAAGCATTTAACAACAAGGCCCTTGTTGGACTCCGTCGTATCGATTGGTTGGGTCTGAAGCCTGCGCGGACAACACATTTCGGACGTGCCGCGCTAGCCATGTTTGCTATCGCGCAGTGGAAGAAGTTCGTGAAGAAGCGGCGAGAAGAAATGAGGCAGAACAGAAGGGTTGACGAAATCAACATACCAGTTGAAGATGTCTCTATGGAAGAGACCCTTCATCGGACGGAAAGCACGACATCATCGCCAACTCGGAAACGCTCACGGGAAGATGTCGATGAAATGCCGGGCGCGAAACGAGAGTTGCTCGTTACTCCGCAGTTTCAAGGGAGTCCGCCGTCTCCCCCCGTCTCGGATTCATCATGAGCTGTTGCGGTCAGGCTCTCGACTTTCATTGTTTCCACTATTTCCACTATTTCCTATTCGATTTTGATTGGACTACTTGGGATACCCATAGCTCGCGCTACCTTATTAATTCTCACATCGCATGAAAGTACTAGGGATTTTAGGAAACGAGTCGCCTGTGTCATTTATCACTCTTTCAAAAACTTAGTTCTAGATGTTTATTGCGCGGGAGATGCAGTGAATCTTTTCTTCACCAACGCATGGGATAATAGCGTCTAAATTCTATTTGAAGATAATGGAAGTAGCGAACTAAGCATACGCTATAGTGAACGGTACAATTCCAACCTTTGTCACTGGTGTGGGAGTTTGCAAGATCCAGTTTAGCGTTTGTGGGCACGTCAACTCCAACCCCGCTCACGTTTACGATTTCCGACCGCTGCCCCTCAGATGTACTAGAGTACCCCTTAGAATGGATATCACTACTTGTATCCACTTCCTCGTTTCCGACTTTTCCTTGCTGTGCAATGGCAGCTACGAATGTCGCAAGGGCAGTCACACCAAGCCACCCGGATATTACATACACTCCCGATTATGCAACGTACCTCGCACGGACTAAGAGAAGAGTGAACACTGAGAAATTGGGCAAGCGCTTGCCACCAGGCTGTCCTCTGGAGCTACAGTCTAAGCTCGTATGGAATGGTGGAGACACTATAGAGCGATACAATTGGGTTCACGAGTTAACCCCAGCCGAGTTTCACGAAATCGAGATAGCATTGCAGCACTTCAAATCTCTCGAAAGGCCCCTAGGTTTCATCAGCTAGGAGGCCTTTCCGCTCCCTAGCCGGCACCACACCTTGCGAGAGATATCCACCGAAATACACAACGGCCGTGGTTTTAAAGTTCTCCGCGGGCTTCTGGTAGACAAAAAATGCTGCGAGGAGAATGTAGTTATTTATGCTGGCCTAGCTTTACATATTACGCTAGTTTGAGGCCGCTAGGACTACTAATACGATGGAAAACCTGCCGACGTTGTCCTCAACCACATTATAGACTAAAGTAGCGTGTTCGATGCAAGCAAGATTGGCGCGCCGGCCTACATGACCGATAGGCAAGTCTTCCATACCGATGCTGGGGATGTGATAGTCTGAGGGCGGCTAGAGCAAGTTGGGCAGTAGCTGGAGAGTGTACAACGAGCTCGCATCTACCCGACCGGACCTAGTGCAAACGTTAGCAGAGCCATGGCCTACAGAGGTGTAAGTGTCCTTGTATTGCTTCCTTTGATATATGGCAGAAATCGATCCATCATAGATTCGACGAGAAAGCTAAATCGTACGTGAATCGCCCATTACTCTACTATCAACCCAGGACAGATACCGCTCCAGAGAGAATGATAGTTCAGTATGCTCGTCGCTACTTCACCAGTGTTCAAGGTCTGCGTCGCTCACCATCTATTCCACCTATATCTAAAGCCTAGGCTGAAGCCCTTGATGCCTTACACTTCCTTGTGGATAAGTACGCTCTCGCGCTAGACTTCCAAAAAGGTGGTGTGCAGTTCGTGAACAATCTATCCATCTTCCATACTAGAGACGGATTCACAAACACAGAGGCACAGCAGCGGCATTTGGTGAGACTGTGGTTGAGAGACTCGGAACTTGCGTGGAAGACTCCAGAAGGGTTGGAAGGGAGATGGGATAAGGTATATGAGGGAGTGAAGGAGGGGACCCAGGTCCGGAGCTCGATCTTGGAGAAGAGTGACGATAAGACTACTGTTGGTGGCTACTCCTAAGGCTCCAGGCGTCCGAATTTGCACTCGTATATGTCTCTTCGTGATGATGTTGGTCAGCAGGCTAATGGAGGAATTTGGAATGCTGAATATCCTGAGGGGAAGTTTTGCTTAGCCAGCAATAGATTTATGACTCCTTATTCTGTCCCGAAACACATACTATGTGGAACCCTGCAAGACTTACTATTCTAGGGAATAGGTACGAATGCGGTGGCGAGGCCCTTAGCTCACGGAAACATGAGTCTGGCCTTCTCGTAAGCTTCGTCTATGTGAAGTCGCTGAGCTGGATACTGTGATACCTACAGACATGGTTTGAGAAAGTGTCGACGTTCAGATGACGCGACGAAGCTCAAACACGTGCATCGACATCTCACGTACTTCCCCGAGTAATCATTTCCAAATCGGGAAAACGACAGAACGTGGTCTCCCACGTGATGGTTGACCAGGTCGTGCACGGCCCCGCCAACTCTGTCGTTCAAGCTCACCTAGCTTTCTCCCCAAATCCAGCCCCAGTGTCATCACCAAAACTAACTGTTTCGTCAAATTCAACTCTTTCTTCGTGAAATGAAGAAGATTTAGGTAGTTGTGGGCCCTAAAGAAGGGAATAGACGAGTACTTGGTAAGGTCATGTTCTCTCGTCGTTTTTTTATCGCAAAAAGTACATCGACGTTAGATGGGCCTATTTTTAGCCTTCGATTAGAAACCCCAGAATCTTCCGAATAAGCGCCACGTGTGATGATGGGCAAGATCAGCAATGATGGTAATTAATGCTGGGGCACCCCGGATTGTCCTCTGGACGAAAGGGCGGTCGAAACGAAATAATCGAAACGAAGAACCTTACCAATAGTTGTTCAGCGGTCGGTTGAAGGGTCCGGAGCTCGTACGGGAGATGTTTGTTTGTCAGTTGCCGACACCTACGATGAAAAATAAGCTTAATTCAAAGCCTAAAGATAGCGGTGCCAATCCGTCAGCAACCATGTACGAGTGCGGCTGAGCACCCTCTTTTTCTTTGCCTTACCGTAAGCTATTTTAGCTGTTTTCGTTCCTATTCTCATCTCCTCAGCAATATCTTGAGATGTGATTGGAGTCATTTTTAAGTAGCCCGGGATTCCCTTGCAGTGGAAAGCACGGTGCACTATTTCTTTGTCCTGGTGGCTTGCTTTCGGCGCAATGTTCGCTGAGTAGGGCTGTGGTGGCAGTGTCAGAACTCAACTTGACAACAGCAAGATTGCACAGCAGCCGTCTTGCCGCCATCCAAATGGCGTCTTTCCGTGATGCGTGTCTAAAGAGAAGCCTGTACGGTTGCAGCACAGCGCGGCGCTCAGAAAATATATATAAGCCTAGTCTACTCGATTATGCTAATCATCACACTCACAACAACTCACGCAACACAACAAGCACTTCCTATTCTTATTTCATTTTCTTTCTTATTTTTCTTATTAGCCACTCGCTACTCGCTAATATATCCTTTGCTGCCAATTTCCAATACCTTCTCAACCAACCACCTAATCAATCAAAATGGTTGCATTTACCACCATTGCCTTCTCTGCCGCTGCCCTCTTGGGCTTCGCTTCGGCCGCTCCCAATACCCCACCCTCAACTGGTGTCATCCACCGAATCTTCGCCGGCTCCACTGTTGCCAACAAGGGTCTCCACTTCGAGCCTGAGAACATCGTCGCCGAGATTGGTGACTTGATCGAAGTCCACTTCCTTCCCAAGAACCACTCCTTCGTTCAGTCTTCTTTCGACAAGCCCTGCGAGCCTATCAATGACAACGCTGTCTTCTCAGGCTTCCAATTTAACACCATGGCCGGCGAGGCACCTAATGTCTTCACCTTTCCTGTCCTCGACAAGAAACCCTTCTGGTTTTACTGCAGCCAGACCGCTGGCAACCATTGCCAGATGGGCATGTCTGGTGTCATCAACCAGAACTTCGACGGTGCTGCCACCCTTACTGCATACAAGGCCAAGGCTGCTCTTACCGGACCTTCCATCTCTGGCAAGATTCCCAGCAACGGTGGCAGAGTCCTCCCCAATAAGCCGTTGTAAGTGATGAGGGCACACTGTAAGAGTGTGTAATGGTACGATAATGGAGGATGGCTTTGACATTTAGCGCTGCATTTGATTAGCATTTGGATATTGGATTTTGCATAGCATCGGCGTTTTTCATTCAGCTTCACTTCCTCACGCTCTCTTACTATAATTCGGGGCCCCTTTATACATCAATACATACTCTGCAAAGAGGTTTTACTCTTAAGATTGGCTTTCCATCAGTGATATGCTCTTCACACTTTTGATGCTGCTTAGTTTGTTATTTGAGATTATTCCAGCTCAATTCCAGGCCAATTTCCAGTCATGGTCTTCTAAATATGAATGTTTCCTTGCACCCAAAGTTAGCCCTGCACGTGTTTTGCTAATTATAGCTATCCTGAACGGGCCAAATTGCAGTTTCGAATTTTGCTTTGTCAGTTACGTTTGCCAGACTTGACTTAAAGCATCGTGCACTTGGGAATAGATCTCCCCTGACGTCTTATCATTTACATCGGAGGGAATGTATTGTCAACTACTTTATAATTTTGAGATGGATAATTCCGAGATTCTTGCTTTGCAATTTTGCTGTAAGGAAGTTATTCGACAACAGCTCCTCGGCCAAGACCGCTCAGCGAAAAATTCCGTGTGTAACATCCATCGGTATCCTGTCTTCCCCAGTGCCAATATCACAAGGTTGGGGTCAGGTTGTCATTGACTGAATTGCATGGGCTTATTGCACAGCGTGCAATGGAGAGGCAGCAGCTGACAAGAACCGGCTAAGCCAAAAAGATGTCCTGTGCAATGAAGTATCACGGTAACACTCCGCAGGGAGAAACCCAAGGGAGGAGTCTAAAAGAGAGTGTATATCCTAAACGACTGACGCAGAAGCAACCCTATCATTCAAACTTTGAAGCGTTTAGTCCACAACATTACCAAGAGGTCGTCTTTTGTTCTATCAAACAACGAAATCGTAATAGCAACACTAAGCTACAACTCCAATCCCAACCAGAACTCAGAAAATGAGCACATCGGTAACGCCTTCAAATACATCTCTCATCACTTCTTCCACAGAGATCGGCACAACATCCTTCAAAGGCCTCAAATCAACCCAATCTCCCACCGCCGATAAATTTACGTTGATCAACGGCCTACTCGCATACCTATTAACTCTACTCCACGCTGGACACAGCACTCGCCCATTCTACTAGACGTCGTTCCGCCCGAGCTTCTGCATCAGGCTCTAGAACTCGCCCAACATCTCCTTCAAATTCCAACATCCAGAATTGGCGCATGTATCTCTCATCTCTGGGTCTTCGCCCACCGGCCTCAAAGCCGCACTTTCAACGGCTGCACAAGAGGCAAACCCTAAGATCCCACCCCTACCGGAGAGGTACAGGCACTTCCCGTCCGAGCTTGGACACAAAGTATACGGTGAATGGTATTGCCCGCTTAGATATCAAGCGCAAGATTGAGATGGAAAGAAGGACTTTCAGTTTCTTCAATGCGCCATTTGCGGGGATCGTATGCATGGATAAGTAATTAAGCTGGTCTAATGCGATAGGCGCAAGCATGTAGATGCAGAGTTTATTGCTAGCATTGACGGCGCAAGGGTTTGGGAGCCGTGTGGACGTTTCGGTGGTAGGTTCTGAAGATGTGCTGAGGAAGGAGTTAGGCATCCGCGATGAGTTTGGTGCACTTTGTGGGATGGCGATTAGGTATGAAGACAAGGGGGAGAGCGTAAAGGGAGTGAAGGCTGGAATGATAGACTATAGGGATAGTGTTGTTGAGATTAGCTGAGAGGCGATCATGGGAGAGTTTCGAGGAGGGAATTTGACTTGTTAGTGTACGAATAATGAACCTTTTTTTAAGCATCCTACCTACAACACGTCAGTATATAGAAAGTTTAGGAAGGATTTAATTTGGAAAATATGTTAGAACCCTTTCACATTCTCCATGATTCTAAAAGCACTGTATCCAGTTCATGCACGAAACAGTTGAAGAGAGTTTGGAGTCGAGTTCGAGAGAATTTGCTACCTTGCCAAATTTAGACTAGCTGAAGTATGTTCCTTTCAACGACCTTATCTCAGCAAGCTCAGACGGGATGGGGAGAGAGCCTTGACAGGGGCAAGCCCCTGCTAGTAGCTTTAGTGGCGCAAGCCCCATCTCTCTATCTCATAAGGGTATAAGAAAGGCTTTCTCTCCTTAGCTGTTTAAGGGACTTTTGTAATTTTTTAGGTGATATTATAGTTCTAAACCTCCTCTACTATGCACTAGCTTAACTAAGAATTACTGTAGCTCTACTACTTTTTGTCTAAACTAGGTTAGATTTTAATAGGTAATAGAGACAGTCTCTAGCTATATTCTAACATTTTTGTAACCTAATTCTAACAAGATTTAGCAGAGTATTGCGCTATTAAGTCCTGCGCAGGACATTTTAATAACTCTATAACTACACCTTAATGCGACTCTTTAACTACATAATATATTATCTTTAGAATTTAAGACTTGTCTAAGACAGGCTTTATTAGAGAGCCTGCAAAATTTTAGGAG